GACTGGTTAAGTATGCAAAATGACTCAGAGTGATCCATTCCTAGTCCCCATTCCTGGGAAAGTAACTCCCAACAAATAAAAGGACCCACAGCTTACAAACGGTCATTTTTCATTCTTCTAAAGTTCATTGGTTTGGGAAACTTTTCTGGGATTCAATTTCGGATAGGTCACCAGGAAAATAGTTTCTGTAGTGGGCAAGCTACAGCTTTTAAAGTGGCTCCTCAGTTCTTGCTGAAGTCAGATATAATTTGCCTCCTTGCTTTCATCTGTGTCATCCAAACATTTTGCTCATTCTCTTTCTCAATACCTGTAGACTTAGTTCACCACTAACATGTAATTGGGAAGCCAGAGGAAAAGAGTGAGGAGAAATCACTAAAAATTTGTTATAAAGCAAATGTTTTGCCTTCCTTAGCACTGACTCCATAACTGAATATGGCTCAACAAAGCATTTATTATGTATAGACCTATCTATCTACCTACCTATCATTTGCTTCTTGTTCACACTTAAAAAAAAAAATCACCAAGACTCCAGCAGAAAAATGAGTAATGAATAGGATGTACTAGAGAGAACAGAGAAATAATAAACACAAACAAGACTGAATATCCTGGGCCTCCCTGGTGGCCTAGGGGTTGTCTCAGCGCTATCACTAAGGCCTGAGTTCAATACCCGGCCAGGGTGCTAACCCATATGGCGCAGCAGACCTCTCCTGTCTCGTCCACTGCTCCCCTCAGCAGTGTATTTCAGTCAATCTGCCTGTTCTGCTCCCCACTCTGTCTCTGGTGAATCCTCTCACCACCCGCACCTCTGGCCTACACCCCAGTTCATCTACACAAAAATAATAAGTAAAATATTTTTAAAAAGACTGAATATCCCAATTATAAATAGAATAAAAAAAACATCGAAGTATGGCTTACGTTTTTACTAAAGTTGCAAGATTTTATTGTGTTTAATATTCAATTTGAGGAACATTGCCTTAAAATTGGTAATTTATTTGGGGGAAAGAGATCTATAAGAGGTAGAAATAAAAACAGGAGAGAACTACAGATGACATAGACACTACAGCACTAGCTGACAAAAAAGACCCTCAACCCCGCACAGGGGAATGAGAACACGTTATATATCCCAGTATCACAAGGCAGTCGCTCATGGAGATTACAAATGTGAGGACTAGAGAGAAACAGGAAATGTTATCTGTGAAAAATATGAAATTCCATGTCAATAATTATCTCATCTATACAAAAACATGCACATATAGTAAAATGCATGCATGTGGAGAAAAAATAGAGGGCAAAATACGAGAAATAAATATAGCTTTGTGGCAGCAGTGGGATTAAGGTTATCATTTATTTTTTCAAAGGTCTACTTAGTGTTCTTACACTAGGTTAATACTTTTTTTTTAAGATTATTTATTTATGCATACAAGATCTGGGGTACAGGCCAGAGATGCAGGGGGGAGTAAGAGGATTCACCAGATACAAAGTGGGGAGCAAAACAGGCAGACTGACTGAAATACACTGCTGAGGGGAGCAGTGGATGAAACATGAGAAGTCTGCTTCGCCATGTGGGTTTCTCCCTGGCCGGCTGGGGATCAAACTCGTGCTGCAGAGGCTGTGAATTGCTTCATAGTGCGATGCTTAACCCCTTGCGCCTCCAGGGAGGCCAGGTTAATATTTTCTGAAAAGTATTAACAAGAGAGGGTTGGGGTGGTGAAAGTCATACTCCCAGGCCCCTCCTTCACAATCTTGTCCTAAATTGTCAGCTGTAGTAGGGGAGGGACCACACCTGTTTATTCACAGTGTACACTCAGATCCCAGCCCAATACCTAGCTCTTATCAGATTCTTGATAAATATTTATTGAATGAATACATGAAAATGCCTGCAGCCTAAAAAGTCTCAACCCATGATCACTGGGCACATTCCATCCTGGGGATAAAGAGGAATTTGGTTTTGCTGGAATGTAAAACTGAAGGCCCATCCATAAAGGCAATTCCCTGATCTCCTTGATAAGTGAATTTGGGCATGGAAAACCCAAGGAGAGACAGTCTGTTAAAGCAAACCCAATTACCACCCAGGAACATATGTTACCCTGAGGCCTCTGCTGCCATAACAACATTGTGTAACTATAACTACAGCCCTGGAGGGCTTTGGCCCTGTCAAATATGGAAAAGGATGTCTTCATCATACAATGGCTTTGTGCTTGGATTGACTTCCCTAGGGAACTTGGATCTGGGAAGAGAGGTAGGTTAGGGGAGGCAGGGGAGGGGAAGATGGAAGGGCAGAAGTGGGAGAACTGCTATTGAATCCACATCAGAGTGATTTTTCTTAAGCAATTTTCAAAATGCAGTTATTTGACTGTTTAGTTTTGGTGGTTATTTATAACCCCAGCTGCAGAGGCGGGGAGCTATGCCTCAGCCTGCTGGGATCTGTCCAATACCTTCCCCCAGGGTGGGGTTGGGGGTGGATGGTGAATGAGGGTGATATGAGAACAAATTAACAAGTGGCCTAGAAGGAAAGAGAAGTTCCAGGCCATCTCCTGTAAGGAGGGATCATTAGTGACCATGCTATTTTTAAGGCAGCTGTAACTGAGAAGATTTTAATATGAATTACAATCACATCAACAACCTCTAAAATTCTCCCAAAGGGATAGAGACTAGGCCAAGATTTTTACTTAGAACTTGTAAGACTGGCCTGGCTACACTAACATTGTCTTAAAAAGGTCAAGGCATTTCCCCCTCATCTTATAGGACAGTTAAGCTGCCCACAGAGGAAACTGCTGTCTCTAACAGGCATATCATTGGTCCAAAAGAAGCTTAAAGGAGAGAGGATGCTGGCTCTTGGCAAAGCTTTCCTAACTGAGCCAACACCTGGCAGTTGCCATCCCATTCACTGAGCACTTTTAGATGCCAGGCAGCCAGGGAGAAGCTGGAGATGGTGTGGTCATTCAGGCGAGGTTCCCAACCTCCAGGACTCCAAGGCTTTCGAAGGAAAACAACAAACAAGTGCACTTTGTACTTGAAATATGGTGGCTCTCATTTTACTGACAAGGGGGATCGTTTTAAAGGAAATTAAGACATCTTTCAGGGAGCTTACAGATGTAACTGAGGAGACAAGAAAATAGGCACAAGAAAGAAAATGCACAAGGACATAGAGAAAAGATTGCCCTGGTGACCCCTGCCCTTGAATCCTTCCTTAAAGTCGGGGTAAGGTTACTATAGCAGCACTTCAACCACTCAGATCAGCCCCCTCCAGATTCCAGAAGGACAGCTTTAAAGTACAAGTCTGATGATGGGACTCCTCTGCTGCCTTCAGAGAGTCCCCATCACCTCCAGTCCAGGCTTCTTAGCAGTGTTCAAGGTTCTGCATGAACTACTTGCCCAATCCATTCCTGTGTCTTATTCTGGCAACCACTCCAACTCCACCACGGTGTTAGTCACCTCCATATACAATGCGGCTCTGTGCCTCCGCAGTTTGCATGTGCTGTTCCCTTTGCAGGGAAAGCACCCATTCCTTTTGACTCGCAATTTTTTTTTGTCCTATAAAAATTTACTCTTATTTTACCTCTTCTATGAATCCTTTCCTAAACTCTCTAGACAAAGCATTCCACTTCCTCTGCTGTACTACTGTTGAATCTTGCTAATCCTGCCATTTTCCCATCAATATTCTGTAGTGTTTTGGAACAACAAGCTTACTGGTCTGAGAACACACAGTGGTTTGTCCATCTGGTGTGTCTCAATGTGTGATATATGATGCCTGGGAAATCACTTTGTGTCTCCTCAGCTAAAGTGAGACTGAACAGACAAAAGCAAACAACCACTGAGACCAATGTACAGATATATTCACAAACATTAGTATGTTAGAGACATGACTAGGATGACTGGAATTATAAATATCAATAACAACAGCCATTGTTGAGCACTTACTCTCTCAAGAACGGAGATAAGCACTTTACAATAATCATCTCTTTTAACCCTTATGACAACCTGTGAGGTGGTTATTAGTGTCTCTGATCACAGAAAACTGAAGCACAGGTAAATTTCAAAATTCGTTCAAGAGCAATGCAGATAGAAAGTGGCAGAGCTGAGATTCAAATCCCAATCTGACATCAAAAGCCTGTACTGGACACTGGGAGAGCTGATGAATAAAATAAATATGAGTTATGTTCCTATTATCTGTTTGGGAAGAAGCAAGGGAACAGAACAGCTACTAAATTGGATAAGAAAAAGTATAAATATAGCAGTAAGTGCAAAATAACATATCACTATGCCCTACTATTTTAAATCAGGCAAGACCTTCTGAAGAAAGTACATTTTTAAAGAAGGGAGAGGATGCATCCAGGCAGGAAGAAAAGCCAGTGACAAAGCCTAAAGGCAGGAAGAGCAGTGACGCTACCTGTGGGGGGTCTGGCTAAGGGTGGGCTGGGAAGCAACTGATCAAAGGTTTTGAAACCAATATCAATTCCTGCTTTGAGAGCTAAGTGTGTCATGGTGAAAATGTCACTCAAAGTAAAGATTATATTTGGCTAAAAAAAAAAAAAAGCAAAAGCATTTAGGATCCCCCCCCTTTCCCATTCTAAATATACTTAGCTGTTCTACTTCTTCTTAAGTACACATTTTCCTAAGGATCATATTTCTATCCTATTGGTGTTAGATTTTTTACCTTTCCACCAGTGTACACTTTCCAAAGACAGGAACCATGTCTAAATGAAACTGTAAGCTATTTTGTGGCAGCTGTAGTGTTGGAGAGTCCAGTGTAAGAAATTAACTAATATTGAATATTTGTAAAGCTGACATTTATATGGTGGACAGTTATCTTATTCTAATACTCTTATTCTGAAATACCATCTTCCAGGGTGGGATACTTCACCATCTTTGAGTGCTATACATTCAGAGATTTAAAACGATAGAGTTTGATTGACTAGTAAGCATTTACTGTAGGTATGGGAAGTACTAAGAATGTATGAAAGAAATGAGATAGGCTCTTTAACATTAGAGCTCCTTACCATTAGTCTTGGAGCCAGAACATCCTAGAGTGACCTCAGGTTCACTGAAAAATAGTAATAGTGTGAAACTGAATGCTTAAATGTTGAGGGAATATAAAAGCAGAAGAAACTCAAGTCCTTCCCAATTAAGTTCTTATGTGCAGTTCAACCTAAGTAGGTTATTGCGAATTTATAAGAATCACTGAAAGCTAAATACTAAACACTCAAAGCTGCGGGTGTTACCAACCCCGGATAGCCTCAAGGTGAGCGCTGGCTAAGGGAGACTTTAACTCTTCAGAGTACTCTTTAGCACATCAATGAGATGTTTACCTTCTGCTCCTTTGTTCTTTAGCTCTGCTGGGGTGGAGTGCCAGAGAGGTGAGGTGGATCTCCAGCTTAGCTGACCTCAGGTAAAACTGGGTTCCTAACTTAAAGACCGAGCTTGCCAGGATTCTCAATAGTCGCTCTTGGCCACGCCTTGGTCCTCTCGTGGCTTTTATCTCCAGCGACGTTAAATCCCCAATGAAATCTTCTACACTTCCCAGTCTTTTCTTAGCTCTCTCCTTCTAGCCTTAACATCTGTGACCAACTTCTTCTAGGCCCTCTCAAAGCAGGCCTTCTAATTATTTTACCATCCATGCCTTTTTGAGCTGCAGCTCACTTCCTCTCCTGGCTTAAGCATCTGGATTTCCAGGTCACTTGGACTAAATGGGGTTCAATGTTTCTCTGACTCTGGCACGGCACTCCCCACTCCCAAACACGGGCCATCCAGGGCTCTCGAACCATAAAGGGGATGGGTAGGGAAGGTGGGGGCTCACCACAGAGCTAAACTGGGTATTCTTTGGAGTTACAGTTTCTGAAGAGAGGTGTCGCCTCCTTCCGCGAAGCGAACCACTAACTTTACTTGCTGTTCGCTGAGGGCAAGGACAGTGTCTCCTCTACCAGTCAAGAAACTTGCTGATGATGGACGCTACCTTTCGTTTCTTATAAGCCCCGTTCCAATCACTTTGAAACACAGGAAGGCTCCTAAAATAGTTTCTTGTGCAAAATATCTCTTTGCAACTTGGCGTATATCATAAACGGAAAAGTCCTTTAGTCAATTAGTCAACGAAGGAGTTAAATCTCAGCAACCTGATGGATTCTGGGGGTTTCCTTCCTCGACTTCAGAAAGTAAAAAGATAGGGAAGGGAAATTTTGCCCAAGGTAAAGATGAGAACCGTTGACTTCAACTGTCAAGCTCTTGCCCCAAACAAGAATGGCTACCCACGCCCGAAATGGGTTCCGATCCCCTAACTAAAAATGGCCGGTCCTGCTTTCCGCTATCGGTACCACCTCCTGCCCAATTCCAAAATGGCGCCTACGGGCCTCACCAGAGGAAGCAAACCTCCCAGCACCCTCTCTGGCCTGTAACGTCAAGTGACGCGAGCCCCAACCGGAAGTGAAGGAAAAAGCGCCTCAGCCCGCGGCGCCTGCGCAGAAGGCTCTAGACGGTGAAGCAGGAGGCACTTGGGATCGTCCGCAGGATTGGGACTGCTACAGAGGCAGCCACGGAGCCCGCCGGAGCCACCGTTCCTACTGCTGCTGCCGCCGCTGCCCGAATCGGAACCGTCGGGCCGCAGCCGCCGGCAATGCCGCGAAGGAAGGTAAGGGGAACGGGACAGGAGAGATGGCGGGTTTCTAGGGACAGTCGATTGAGCAACGTGACGCATTTGGCCACGCCTCAAAGTGGTTGGGTTCCAACTTCCCGCTCCCGCGAATCTAGCTCAGCTCCGCTCTTCGCTCCTTACCCAACAGAAAAATGTGGGCCCGACCCTGGCCTCGGCCTATACTTGCAACTATTCCCGCCCTCTGCTTGCCTGGCTCGGAGGCGTTCTTCTCGTTAATTGGTCGCTGAAACGTCGAGAAGCATATTGATTGGCTGATGACACCGCCCATTTGGGCCCAACGGTCACCTCCCCGCGTGCGGGGGCGGGGGCTGGGCCCGTCCCTATCGCTCTCCGACTGGCTGTGGAGAACGATCCCTCCTCTCGTGATTGGCTGGACTTGGCAGTCTGTCCCGTGGGGGCGCGGTTTAGCAGAGTTGCGATTGGCTGGCGCAAAGCTCCGCCCTTCGCACTGGTGTTTCTGATAGGCGCAGAGGCGGGGTTTGGGAGGCCTTCCTTTCCGGGCGGGGGCACAACAAAGCAGAGGACTTGGGTGGTAGAGGACCAGCGCCCATTCCCGACGGATGCCACTCAGGCCTGTGGCGTTCAAGCTGTGAATTTTCCTTATTTGCTTAGTTGGACAGCGCCTGACATGCAAATTTGTAAAATCAGAAACTTTCTAGAATTGAAAGCACTTAAGAGCACTTAGGAGATCTTCTGGGGACTCGCCCCACTCCCTTCTGTGCATCTGAACAAACAGGCCTAATGGAGTGCCCCAAGCCACACTCAGGCAGCGGCGGGGCCAGTGCTGCAGAACAAATCAGATTCAGTCCGATAAATGTGGATGGACTGATTGTTAGGCTTGCTGGCTGCTGGGGACTCAGAAATTAATTAGTCATGACCCGCGGCTTAAGGAAATCACTGGCTGTTGGAGAAAACAGACATATAAATAAATGCAGAAGGAACTAGTAAATTCTTTACTTGGAGGTATATACAAAGTGGGAAGGAAGTGAAGAAGCAAATTAAGTCTGCTCTGGTGTAAGATGGGAAGTAGATTGGTGAAAGCCAGAGAGAAGAGCTGGATAGTTATATATGATCAGGGATTAGATTAACTGGTTAAATGGACAAGATGACCATTAAAGACACCCCTCCAGCCTATCAATTTTCTATGACTTTGTGGGGTTCTGTTCATTCTGGGCCAATTATCCTTGAAATTGAAAGTTGGGTGATATGCTGCTTATTTCTGCAGGAATCTTTTCATAGAGGCTTTCAAATAAAATATACTTTTTTAAATTTAATTTTATTTATTTATCCATACAAGAGCTGGGGTACAGGCCAGAGGTGCGGGGGTGAGAGGATTCACCACAGACAGAGGGGAACAGAACAGGCAGGCTGCCCGAAATACACTGCTGAGGGGAGCAGCGGGCGATCCAGTAGAAGTCTGCTGCACCTCGTGGGTTGCTCCCTGGCTGGGGATTGAACTCTTGCTGCAGTGGCTGCAGACAGCTTCATAGGTTGCGCCTTAACCCTTTGCACCACCAGGGAGGCCCAATATTTATACATTTTAATGTCTCCTAAAATGACCTACATAGGTAGGTGGTATTTGAGGCTCACTAAATGCAGAAATAGTATTGGTGCCTTGGAATAGGTCCACAGTTCCTTTTCTGCAATGTCCAAATACAAAAAGCTCTTGCAAATGTAAGTTTTCTTGGTAACTTATTTGGTGTGCTCACCTGCCCTGATGCCACTGTAAGTCTTTGTGTGCCTCATTTAGTGTGATTGTTTTTATATCTTACTGCAGAAATATTACTATGTTTGATCATGGAGTGTTATTTGTAGCATATATGCAAAGTAATCCCTTTGTGAGAATCCCAGAAAATATGAATTCCAAATATAACTGACCCTAAGATTTTGGAATAAATAGTAGGGAACTTGTGGTTTGAAAGTCTGTGTGCTATTTTTTTCCTTTTTAGTAAATCTTTTTTCCTTTTTGGTTTAGTAAAAGGCATAGTGTTAATACACAATTAAAAAAGAGTGACTATGGCTAGTCACTCTTAAGAAGGCTAATAATTGACAGATAATTATTAATTGAAAGGTGATTTTTAAAAATCCTGTTTCTGAAATACCTGAGCCATCATATACAATCTGCCTTTTTTTTTTTTTTTTTTTTTAGCACTTTTGGCATTCATGTGGAGAAACTTCAAAGGTAGATAACATAAAAATGAAGGCTTTTAATATTTTTCTGCTTATGTTCTTTTGGAATCAGAGTTTAGACTGTGATATTTTAAATTAGCATATGTTTTTTTAAAACATGATAGCTATTCATGAAGACTTTGAACAAGAGCAACCCTAAAGTTAAATGGGGTTTATCTAACACTAATATTTTCCTTACTACCTTGGATTTTCTATTAAGTGCATGGTGATATCAGCAAGACCATTTTGGGTACTTTTATTTCCAGTTTATGGTACTGACCTCCAGAAGGACTTGTTTCAGAATTAGTAATAATGTGGTAAGAATTATCTTTCTTCGTTATTTCACAGAGGTGCACTTAGAAGGTTGTTCCACTTAAATGCCCTAAATAATGGGAAGTTGACTGGAGTCTTTTCTTAGGTTTCAGCTTGGTGTTTTCAGCATCACGGTTCATTTTATTTACAGTATTACTACAAACTGACAGAATAAATGCTCCTGTGCTAATGTCTGGATCTATGGTGTTACAGAGGAATGCAGGCAGTAGTTCAGATGGAACCGAAGATTCCGATTTTTCTACAGATCTCGAGCACACAGACAGTTCAGAAAGTGATGGCACTTCCCGGCGATCTGCCCGAGTCACCCGCTCCTCAGCCCGGCTGAGCCAGAGTTCCCAAGGTAAAAGGCTTCTTTCTTCCTGACCATCCCTCGCTACGCCTGACTGGTCATCGTATTGTGCTAGATAATGTGAAAATGGGTCCTTTGCCTTGGTGTAGATGACAGAAATTGGTAAAACGCAGAGAGTGATTGCAGAAGTATCAGGTCTTTAAAAATGATTCTGTTAGAGGTACTTTCCATTCTGTAGACTCAGAGGAATTATATCAAGTATAACGGATGTGTGACACATGTGTACCTGAGTCCTTTAATATTTTTAGACTGCACTTTCCCCATTAGTAAAATACAAATGTTGCCTCTTAACTTCTGTTAGAATGGGTTAGGTTTAGGGACATAAAATAAAATAATTTTTTGAATGTGTATTTGGAGGTCAGTTCTTCTAAATACTTTTGAAACGTCCATTTAAGCCTGTAGTATAATCAGAAACACTATTAATAGGTATAAATTGTTGCACCCAACTATCAGTGTGTAAAAAGCTAGACTATATAATCTTGGTGTTGGAAGGTAGTTTGAAGGTTACTAGTACTACTGGCCCTCTGGGCTTAGATTTGGAGTTGTACCCATAACCCCTTCTGGCTCTGCTCAGGAAATCCCTGAGGAGGAAAGAAACATATTAATATACAGAGCTGGTGACCAAAAGGTGATAATAGATTAGGGGGGGAAAGTGCAATATGCTTTGGGCACTTAGATAGCACTGATTTGGTTATTGCTTATGTGAGCATGTTGCTAAATGAATGAAAAACAGTTTTTCAAGTAGGAAAATAGGGCTACCCTCTTTCAGCAACTCTTTCTAACTTCATTTTTGAATTTAATATTTCAACTATAGATGTTGACTCTTGATTTCTCAAAATTTTAGTATTTTTGAGCTCAAGGAGAATATTGGTAAGTAACTACTATAATTCAGGAACCACACCATATACCGGAATACCATAATAGAAAATTCATGGTTCCTGTTCTCCAGGAGCTCAGTGTAGCGCAAGATACAGATTTGTCAACTGATCATAGTAATGCTGTGGTGAAGACTCAACAGAGATTTGCGTAGAATATTATGGAAGCCCAGTGATGAGATAGCCAACTTAGGGCAGGTCTCCCAGGTAGAAATCTTAAAGGATTACAAGTTAAAAGATGGGAAGATGTTATTCTAGGCAGAAAGGACTATACATGCAACAGAAGAGATATAATGTTCGTAGAAAGTATAATTGGTCATATCCTAAACGCCTTGAAAAGTACAAATGGTCAAAACAAATAGGAATACATGAGCCCTTGGTCTCTTCCTAGTTACTACAGTATATAAATACAACTCCTGTGGTCACCATTCATGATGTCTTCTCTATAAGGTGGCCCTGTCTAGCGTGAATTGGTTAAATCGAGCTGGTAGAGGTGTGCACACTGGTAACCTAGCAATATGCTAACAGTTTCTTTCCCTCACACATATACTTTTTATTTTTTTCCTTTATTGAGGTAACATTGGTTTACAACACTGCATATGATTTAGGGGAATAGATTGACACCTTGTCAGATGTGTGTTACCACCTCTGCTAACAGTTTCTTATCCCTGAATAGAGAATTTCACTTTTCTTCTCTAGAGGCTGTTTACAATTTACATATTATCTTAGGACTCTTTGTTGTTTAAAATATGCTTTAATTTCAACTTTGTATTTCTTTTATTCTTTTTTTGAATCTCATCATATTGGAGATGTAAAAAGTTTTCCAGGTGTTTCAGAATAGGTTTTACATCCAAAAAAATTTCAAAAGCTGAGTTCTTTGCTTATTCTTTAAAATAATGTATTATGATTTTGCCTTAGGTTATTAAAGGTGGTCATCAGGAAGAAAATGGATTCATTAAAAAGGGAAATATTCATGTATTCTTCTTTAGTAGTAGGATAGCCTGTTTTATGGTGGGTTAGAGTAAAGGAAGAGAATATAATTAATATTATAAAGCATTAGATTTACATACCAGGGATTACACTAAGTGCTTCATATGAATTATCTCACTTACTCCTCACAACAAACTTACAAGGAATGCACTGAGGCTAATAGTTTCCTTTTTTACAGATCAGGAAATAGGTGTGAAGAGAGTAATTTGCCCAAGATAAGCATAGCTAGGTGGTATGGTGGAGTAGAATTGAGTCAGGTTCCGTCTTAGTTCAGAACCTATTCTGTGCTGTATTATGGTTCTGTACCTGACTAGGCTCTTCTGCTTATGTTTTCTTTAATAAAATAGAAATGTTAAACATTTATTGATTTTTGTGAAATCTGAAGGAGGACCTACATACTACTTAATCATATGGATGGGAAATAAACAGATTTCCTTTAATTATTTTATCATCTTTTAAAATTGGGATTAGATTCCAGCCCTGTTCGAAATTTGCAGTCATTTGGCACCGAGGAGCCTGCTTATTCTACCAGGAGAGTGACCCGAAGTCAACAGCAACCTACCCCAGTGACTCCGAAAAAGTACCCGCTTCGGCAGACTCGTTCGTCTGGCTCAGAAACTGAGCAAGTGGTTGACTTTTCAGATAGAGGTGAGTGGGAGTGGTATGATTTTAGACATATTACAGGGGACCTGGTGAATTTCTTTTAAGGAAGGCTTGGGGCCACTGCAGACAGATGGCTAATGCTGACAAAATTCAGCTAGGTGAATGCTACTTGCCCGATTCCTTTTTTAATGTCTCGCTGAGGACAGTTTGGTATTAGAATATTAGAAATCTAGACTAGCAGACCTGTAATAGATAAAAAGGGCCCTCTTACCACAGATGAAGACGACTTGAACCAGATTTTCTTACAGTCATGCTTATCAGTCCATTTATCCATGGATTTCTGAGATTGAGTGACCTTTAATGATTAAGAATGGGAAGCTATTGAGATTTTGATTTACCAGCATCAGAGACCTTGGAGTAAAGATTACAGACTGGTGAGCTTCTAGCCTCACAACATGATATTGTTTCTTTACACAGTGTTTACATTTATTAAAAAAATTGTTGCCAGTATTTAAAAATATGGAGATTTCATGTAAAAACCTGGGTTACTAGAAAACTCTGAGAGCATTAGATGGTCATTCATTAACAGTAATAATTGGCTGGAGCTGAATAGTAGTTGTCTGCTGTTTTTTTTTTTTTTTTAAATATAAGAGCTGGGGTACAGGCCAGAGGTGCAGGAGGGTGAGAGGATTCACCAGAGACAGAGCGAGGAGCATAACAGGCAGATGACCGAAATACACTGCTAAGGGGAGCAACGGGCAGGACAGGAGAGGTCTGCCACGCCATGTGGGAATCTCCCTGGCTGGCCGGGACTCAAACCCGCACTGCAGAGTCTGCAGAGCTTCACAGCACTGTTCTCAACCTGCTGTGCCACCCAGGAGGCCCCAGTAGTTGTCTTCTTGAGATGAACCAGGAGCTCTCTACTTGACCTTGCTCAGGCCCTGTAGGCATTTGTTTCAAAATCTGGAATTGTTAACTCAAGAGTCAAGTTCATTTATGCTTTCATACCAACTCTGTTCAGTGTGATTCAGAAAGACAACCATTTCGTTTGACTTCCATCCTGTGTATTTTCTGGAAGGAGAGTGGAATGGTAGTTTAAAAAAAAATTGTTTCCAGTCCTCTCTGGTGGCCTAGGGGTTAAGTCTTAGCACTGTAACTGCTAAGGCCTGAGTTTGATCCCCGGGCAGGGAGCTAACCCACATATGGTGCAGCAGACGTCTTCTGTCTTGCCCTCCTTAGCAGTGAACTCAGTAAATCTGCCTGTCTGCTCCCCACTCTGTCTGATGAATTCTCTCACCCCTGCACCTCTGGCCTGTACCCCAACTCTTCTATGCAAAGATAAATTAAAAAATTAAAAAAAATTGGGCCTCTCCGGTGTCGCAGTGGTTAAGCGCTGGGTTGCGAAGCTGCCCGCAGCCTCTGCAGCACCAGTTCGATCCCCGGCTACTGGCGAGGGTCCCACATGGCGTGCAGACCTCTCCTGCCGCCTACTGCTCCCCTCAGCCATGTACTTCGTCAGTCTGCCTGCTCTGCTCTCCTCTTTGGCTCTGGTGAATTCTTTCACCCTCCCGCACTTCTGACTGTACCCAGTGCTTGTATAAATAAATAAATAAATAAATCTTTAAAAAAATTAAAAAATTATTTCCATCGAGTTTTAATTACCTAATAACTGGGGCTTATGAAGAAACAGATATATGAAATGTATTAAGTAAACCCCAGATTTAATTTTAGTCAGAATTTAAAGCTGCACGAAAGGAACAATCTTAGTTTCTCTTCATTTTTCATTTAGCCTTAAAGCAAATAAATAACTCAAAGTTGTTGGTTAAATCACAGAAGAAGGATCTGAAAGTATATAAATCCTGTATAGTAAACCTCTAAATAAATAAACCCCATTTACTAGCTCTGCCAATTGCTTTTGCTTTAGAAACTAAAAATACAGCTGATCATGATGAGTCTCCGCCTCGAACTCCAACTGGAAACGCACCTTCTTCTGAGTCTGACATAGACATCTCCAGTCCCAACGTGTCTCACGATGAGAGTATTGCTAAGGACATGTCCCTGAAGGACTCGGGCAGTGATCTCTCTCATCGCCCCAAGCGCCGTCGCTTCCATGAAAGCTACAATTTCAATATGAAGTGTCCTACACCAGGCTGTAACTCTCTAGGTTAGTATGTCCCGATGTCATTACACCTTGTATTTTGTGGTTCTCTCCATCTGAAATTAGGATCATTCAAAAATGTTTTGTGTTCTGTCATCACCTAGCTTCGTAGGCTCTTCAGTGGTCACATGCTCAGAGTAACACTGAGTTTCCCACTTGAATAAAAGCATTTCTGCTTCTTGACCTATTGTCCATAATAATAGGGTTGATTGCAAGAAAGTTGACTGTGATGCACCATTCAGAGCTTTTTCCAGTGAAAGATTTTCTCCTTTTTCCAGTAAAAACAAAGCAGAAGCCAGCTGTTATCAAATATGTCATTGAATGGCTCATATTAATAAGCACCAACACTGTAAACCAATGCAGAGTAGTGACTCTTGGCCAAGGCTGTTAAGAAAATGATAAAAACAGATTTCTTAGGAAGGGACTTTCAAACTAAAAAGGTACAGATGAGATCCTGGCCTTTATTTACTTTACTAGTTTTAGAATCTTGATGCTTTGGGTACATAACAAGTTTAAACCAGATAACTATTTCTCCTTAGATAAATGCTTTTTTTTTAATAACTAACTTTCTGCCTCTTACTGAGGAATTCTTGTAATAGTTTAAACCTTACTAGTTTTCCTTAGGTCAGCTTAGATGCAAATGTTGACGTTAAACTTTTGCCTGAGTTGGAAGGTGCTGACTGGGAGCTAAGAGGCCTTTCACTACTGGGTCCACTTCTCAAATTTATGAATTATTGGGTGTGGCCATCAAGTTGAGAAAATAGACTAGTTTGTTGCTCTGTAAAGCCTGTGTTTTCCCTACTATTTTGTTTATTTGGATCCTTTCTTGCACTTAACAGCAGTTTCTCAGATAATTTCAACATATCAAAATGCATAGAGCAATAGTTCCCTTGAATGCCATACCAGTCGTCATTCAGAGAAGATAACTGTGTCAGGTTTAAATCAATTTCCTTGAGCTAAATAATGAAAAACTAGAATGGAGATATCATCACTTAAATACTGGTGCAAGAAATAGCTAATATGCTTTAAAATGGTAAGGGGATCTGCTTGTCACACATCAAGAACTTTTCTCAGCCTTGCTAGTTGCTATCCATGCTCCCTCAAATCGGTACTTGTATTACGTTTATTGAATGTCATGTGCCAGACGGTGTTTTAAGTTCTGGGGATGTAGTTGTCAACATGTCAAAATTCCTACTCAATTAGAACTTCTAGTCTTAACTGGTCAAGACAAAACACGTGAAACCTAATGCATTAGCTAGAGATAAATACTATGAGGGAAAAGAAGTAGGGGAGATACTGAAAGGGAGGATATTCTGCGTAGGTGTTTGCACACACATACACGGGTTGATACGGTGACATTTGAGCAGAAGCCTCAGAGACATGAGAGGGTGAGCCATTTGGGTATCTGGACATAAGCGTTACAAGTAGATGGAACAGCAGGTCCAAAAGATCTGGGGTGGGAGAATACTTGAGCAGTTTGAAGAACACTTAGGGGTCAGTATACCTGGGGCACAGTGAACAGAGTGGAGAGGAGGAGATGATGTCATAGCAGTGGCCTGATTGTGTGTTATTTATGCCCAGGACTTAACCCCTTAATGGGGTAGACCAGAAGGCAAATATAAATCTATTGGGTTAAAAGAACGTTTATTTTGACTTTCTGTTTTAATGTACTGCCGAAGTTCAAAAATTTGATATGTTATGAGTTCCCAAAATTATTATTGATCCTGTTCCACCCTGAGGCAAAACAATATCATTTAAAAATATTTTTGGTGTAAAAGTATTGTGTGCTTGTGAAAAATTAAAATCCTGAGGAAAACGAAGTAGTAAAAGTTCTGTTTTCATTCATGTTCCCAGAACTATTTCCCTGATAGAAAATTACTGTTGCTATCATGCTCAGCGAAATAAGCCAGAAAGAAAAAGAAAAATACCGGATGGTCTCACTCATAGCAGGAATCTAGAAAACTTAAATAAGGGACCAGGAAAATGAATAACTATAAGAAAGTGAAAATCAAAATCAACAAAAAACTATGAACCAGAGACACTCTATGGGGGGTAGGGGGTGGGAGGGGAGGGATTGGGGTCAAAATAAGGGGATTGCAATTGTATGGGGAATATAAAAATAAAATTTATTATTAAAAAAAATATATAAAGTATTCACTTTTATAGAGAACCAAAATAAATATTTTTTCTTACAGGTTAAAAAAAAAAAAGAAAATTACTGTTGCTAATTTTTCACAAATGCTTTTCACGAATTCTGGTATATGGTATATATATATGTACACATATTTCTTGTTTGTTGTTATTTATAAAAGAAAATATATAGTGGTTGGTTTGACATCTTGGATATTTCACATTAGTAAATAGAGGCCCATCTGTTTAAAGGATACAGAGAATTCCTTTATGTTGCTAGTTGATAAATTATTTAAATGGTTCCATGTTGATTGACATTTAAATTGTTTCTTGTTTTCAACTACTTTGAACAATACTGTAGTAGATAGTCTCGTGTGTAAATATTTTGGTGTCTTTTAGAAAATCTAGCATAAGTTCATAGCAGTGGAGTTGCTAGGTCAATAGATCAGCTGTCAATTTCTAACCTTTTAATGTAGATCCAATAAATTGGTTTTAGCTTACATATTATAAAATGAAACATGAAAAAAAATAAAATGAAACATGAAATTTGAATAATTTTACTCAGAAGTTATTGATGCATAAGTCTTTCTAAAAAGACTTGTACTAGCTTTGACTTTTACATTTTATAATGGTATTTGATACTGAGAGTTGTTTTTTCCTAAGATAAATTGTATGGTTCTCTAAAAATAAATTTTTAATAATTATCAGCGAAGGGAAATTGCACCTTGCATAATACATATTTTCTTCTCTACCAACACTTAGACTATTTTTTGCCCTTTAAAACTCACTCTATAAGTCATGTATAATTTGTAAAATCCCAATGTCTCCTTTACCCAAAATTAAATGTCTTATTTTCCATGAAACAAAGTTATTTCTGTAGTCTTGTAATTTAGCTTAGTCTTGTAATTTAGCTTAGCTTAGTTCATCTTTTTGTCTCATAACTATTGTCTCACCATCCTTCTCACTCATAGATGTTTTATAAACCTTTGGTTTAAAAGATGTATGAAAAGAAAACTACATGAAAATAGAAAAATGAAGAGAGAACCCTTTAGATAAAATGAAGTCTCTGTATTGACATTTCTAACATTTTTCCCTTTTAAGAGGGTCTTGTGGTAAGTGCATGTATAAAAGTTTGGTTATAGAGAGAAACTAAATCTTTAAACAAAACCAGCTCCCCTTCACAAAAAAAATGTATTTGATCAAAAATATTAAAATGTTTATTATATGATAGAAAAGACCATTTTGTTCTCCAATGTTTATGTTTCTTTTCATTATTGGAAAAATTTCAAATTGGATAGCGTTGCATAATATGCATGTATAAAATTATTACACCTAAAACTTGATTAATTTAGCCTAAGAAAGTTAATTTCCACCAAAAAAAAATTCCTAGTTGTAATTTTGTTCCTTCATTATAAATATATGGCCTTATGCATTTTGGAATTTGAAAAATAATACTGGGACATAAGGAGCTACAATTTATATATACACATATATGTATGACTGTACAAGCCCAGATAGGTTCAAAGATTATTTGGTCCATTCTGTGGAAGAAAAGAATTCATTGTTATGTCCCTAACAGCACTTACCTTCGGTGAATTCAATCTTGATCTGACATGTATTTGACAAAGATAATACAGCAAAAAATCAGATTTGTAACAGAGAAAAGTATCACTAAACTTAAATCTTTTTCTATTCTGAGATTAAGTTTTTCCCTTCATTAACAGGACACCTTACAGGAAAACATGAGAGACATTTCTCCATCTCAGGATGCCCGCTCTATCATAACCTCTCAGCTGATGAATGCAAGGTAATTGTATGCTCATTTATTCAACATATACTTACTGAGTGCTTACCATTTGCCAGGCACTTTGCTAAACACTGGGGATACAATGTGAACAAAATGGGCAACTTCGTTCTTACATTCTAGTGGAGGAAATTAAATCAAAAGCAATTGTATTATTTAAGAAATAGTTAAACAGACAAAAGAATATGAATGAGGACTTCATCGGAAGAAATTAAGGAGATTATCTGTGGACTGTTTGGAACATCACCCTTTGGTGCACTGATATTTTCTATTGAAAATTGACTTCAAAGACTGCTAGGGATCTTTTCCATTAAGACATAATTTGCATAAATATGTGATCTCAATATTTATGCATTATGTTCTTGTCTTACAAATCTATGAAGGCATTTGCTTTTTTCAAAATTCTTCTTTCTCTATTTCTGTAGAATACTTTTACTTTTTATTACTTGGAATCTTAACTGCTCTTGGCTAGTTCTTCTAATTTCTTGAAAATACATAGCTCCTGAGTAGTATGGGATTTTGGAATAATATACTTAGAAGTAGAGCTTAAACCCTATTTTGCATGTGGGTTGTCACTTTCAAGATGGAACCAAAAACTTAACTATGGAGAAGCAAGAGTTGAAAATCTGAATAGTTAAATGAATTGCTCAGGTACTATTTGAACAGGTTAGCTGGCTAGACCAAAGTAAGTTATTTTTGTGGTTATTTTGCTAGTAAGGCCAGGGTCACAGGTTTATTCCTGTCTGAGCTAGCTGATTCTTAGAAAAATTAGATTACCCAGCTCGCATTTATTCTCCCTCACTCAAGAATTTGTTATCTTATTTACAGGTAGACCTAGGATGGAAAGATTCTTTGTTTCCTCTTTTAGTGAAGCAGTATATACTTCCACTGTTTGTATGTATTTTAAGGTGAAGGACTCTTATTTTTCTTCATTCCAAAACTCTTGTATAAGTAAGGCAGTTTTTTCTGCTCTGTGTAAGAGTATGTCTTCCTACAAGTCTGCAACCAGATCAAAATAGGAATAGCTTTGCCAACATCTGCATCAGAGACTAACAAGGCAGTAGGTGCTTCTTTCTTTGAAAAAGATTGTGAGGTCTGTTTTTTGAGAGTTAGCTTCTACTACTAATCTCTCTAAACATAATCTAATGCTGTGGATGGTTTTACATAAAAGTCTTCTTACGGCACAACTTCTACTATTTTTGGCTAATTGCAATATGAACATTTTTTCTTTCAGCAATTTTTAAAAAGAGGAAAAATTTATCAGTGTGGCGAAGAAAAATCTGAAAAAAAGGTAGCATTTCTAGCCTTTGCAAGGGGAATCGGGCTTGGCATAATCCATCTTTACTACCATAACAGGTGCTTGGAGGACAAGGAGAATTTCTGAAAACGACCGCTTTTATTGCATTTAGAGTCTCAATTGAAAGGATTAAACTAGTTCCTCATATTTATACCAAAGTCTATAGAGTTTTAAAATACCTGCTTACACATTATTACTCTGAGTTCCCTGGTAAATATTTATAACCATGATGTCGCCATTTTTATTCAGTCAGAGATCTGTGACTACATGTGCCACAATGTTAGAAGTATCTGAGGTTTCTATGAATGCCATAAAAAAGACTGCATCCATGGAGCTACATGCTCATGGGGTGTGGGGGCAAAATCAACATATAAATGAATAAGTAAGAATTTTCTTACAATGACAGATGCATTCATTGAGGAACAAAAAGACTAAAGATAATAGAGATTGACTGTTTGGCATGATGGGTACAGCACTGCTTTTGCTCTGAAAGTTAAGGTGGACCTTGCAGAGGAGTTGGCATTTGCTCTGAGGCTCTAAGACTCTTGAATCATGACTTACAGCAAAGAGGCAGTTGGGTCAAGATCTAGAAGAGATACAGAAGTAGAAGGAAGAGCAAGTGCAGAGGCAGTGAGGTAGGAGAGACTGTTGGGTTTGAAGAACTGAAAGTCAGACAGGATGGCTGGGAAGTGATGAAAAATGAGAACGCTGGATCCAGATCATAAAGAACCCTGTAGATGTTGGAACAAGGAGTCTGTTTTTATTTGGAGGGCTTTAGCAGAGGCATGATATAATTGCATAAACACTTTAAATATCACAGCTTGCTAGTATGTGGAGAATGGACTGGAAGGGCAAGAGTTGGCATAAGTTAGACTAGATGGAGGGCTGCTGCAAAGTTTAAGTAGTAGATGATGGCCAAGCCTGGACTAGTGTGTGTTAGTGGAGAAACTCAGGATGTCTTTTGGAGGGGTGCAGCCTGTTTAAACTTGTTGGTAAGTTCATTGTGAATTGTAAGAGAAAGCAAAGAAGCAAGGACCACATGCAACTTTTTGACCTCATCAGTTGTTTAGAAAGTGCTACTATTTATTGATATAGGAAGGATTTGGGGTGGAATGGATTGGTGGGAGAATGTCAGTTCTGTTTCTATCATGCTGAGTTTTAGTGTCGACGCTTTGTAGGTAGTTGGATGTGAGTCTTTATTCCCAAGGGTGAAACTGAAATTTGTCTAAGTCACTAACTACAGTTAAGTTACCCTGTAGACTTGACCCTGGGTTTCTAGTTTTTTCTTTGTACTTCCATACTCTGTCTGTTCTTGCATGTCCTCACATTTTCTAATTCATTGTGCAGTGGAGATTCCAGGCTCAGGATCATTAATTAAAGTCTAGCTTCACCACCATTTATCTCTAATTATTTCATGTCTTTGATTCTCAGTTTATGGCTGAGAAAACAGAATGTGAAGCTTGCCTCATCTGTTTCTTATAGAGATTGTGATGATAAATATGAAGACCCTTTGAAAGTTAAAGGACAACATAAGTTCAGGGGGCTGCTGTTGTATTCTTATGCTATAAGTAAACATAGTCTTAGAAACAGGTGGATTTATTGACGCTGTTAATGGTTGCAGGTGAGAGCACAGAGCCGGGATAAGCAGATAGAAGAAAGGATGCTGTCCCACAGGCAAGATGACAACAACAGGCATGCAACCAGGCACCAGGTATGGGCCTTGTTAAAGCTCTGGCCATTCACACAGCTTGGGAGTCCCATAATGTCTTTAGGCTTATCCATCTCTTCTTTCCTTATGTCTAAATGAGTAGTCTTCTAGTCGAAGAGTCAGAAGCATATTTGTTTTCTAAATAGTAATATTCACGAACCACTCCTACCTCATAAATGAAGGAATCATGCTGTCTATAATCATTATCATCAACATCATCCTGCTTGTTTGGAAGATTACTCTACTTCCTCATTTTTGCATCCACTTTTTAACCCATTGCTGTTTACCTTCAAACCCCTCCACTCTGCTGGTATGTTTTCAGGGTCACCAGTGGATTCTCCCTAGCTTTTGCCACTGTTGACTGTGTCGTAGTTCATCTGTTGCTCTCTTGCCTAGATGTTGCGTTACTGTAATCCTTCTGCCTTTCTGAATGTTCTTTTTATTATTCTTCATTCCTTGTTCCTCCCTGGATGCCTTTGGCCTTTACTGTTCCTGTTTTTCTGCTTAGAAACCTGTACCTATACAAGAAGAGATTGTATTTATCCTCCTAGGCTGCCATCTCAGCTATTGTAGGAATCCTTCTCAGATCTGCTGTCATTAATGAATTTCTTCTTATGTATTTTCACTTTAATGTTTTCAGAATGTCAGTTTGGCCCTTCTTATGTATTAAGTATACTTAGCCCATCTGTGAGTGTCTGTTTTTTGTGGTTAGGCTATAGGTAGATAGAGAGGAGACATGGTGAGAAGTTTGACTTTGGAACCAAACAGATCTGGATTTGAACAATGTGATTTTGTTTTTCTAGCTGTGTGGTCTTGGGCAGTCAGCTAACCTCCTAAACTTTATTTCCTTATAAATAAGAAGGCATAGATAATACCTTTTGGCAGGGAAGTCAGCTAAATTGTGCATATTAAGTACCTATCCCCAGTGCTTGGCAGATAATAAGCACTCTCTAAGTGGTAGCTACATTTTTCTTCATTCCCTATCTTGGGATCTATAATTGTGCAGATTTTAAATTTTTATTCATTTTTGTATTTCTGCTGATCAGATCAGTACTTGGAAAACAGTAAGCACACAATACATGCTCATTGAATTGAAGCTATCTTTATTCTTGTTGCTTTGGTGGAGACTTCCATCCTTAATTTATGTTCTGTTTGGGTTAATATTAAAATAAGTACATTCCTGAATCCATATTCACTAACAGTGTCTGGATGGTGAGGGAACCCAGCTTGGAATTTTAAAATGACCCAGTAGTCACAGAGTGGCTGTGACACATATGGCATTTTTTTTCCTCTTCCCTCCTCAGTTCTCTCCCTTTTCCTTTTAGGCACCAACAGAGAGGCAATTGCGATATAAAGAAAAGGTGGCTGAACTCAGGAAGAAAAGGAATTCTGGGCTAAGCAAAGAACAGAAAGAGAAATACATGGTGAGAAAAGTTAAACCCTGAACTAGAATGAATAGCTGTCACATTTAATCCCTTTTGGTTTCTAAGCTTCTGCTCTTCAGATTTGCCATTTGGTATTCCCTCCTGTAGCAGTTGGTTTACTATAATCCCCCCAATCTAGGCTGTTAAGAGTGGAAACTGGAGGTCTTCAAAAAACAAAATACCGTTAGAATTTAGATGAAAAATAGGGCCTCCCTGGTGGCGCAAGCGGTTAAGACACAATCTGTGAAGCTATCCACAGCCACTACAGCATGAGTTCTATCCCCAGCCAGGGTGCTACCCACATGGTGCAGCAGACCTCTCTTGACTCGCCCGCTGCTCCCTCAGCAGTGTATTTCAGTCAGTCTCCCTGTTCTGTTCCCCACTCTGTCTCTGGTGAATCCTCTCACCACCACCCCTCCTCTCCTGCCCCCATACCTCTAGCCTGTACCTCAGTTCTTGTATGCATAAATAAATAAATCTTTTAAAAAAAGAATTTAGATGAAAAATAATTGAATATTCTAGTCATTTGTAAACCTTACTTTAGTTTTAAAGGGCTAAATTTACCCACTCAAACAAATACCATGATCTGGTGATTTCTGTATAAGGGAAAATATTTAAGCTAAAAGTAGTCTACTTATTTTAATAGAAAAACAAAATTCCTACATGATAATAGGTGTTAATTGGGTATACATTTCCCATTCCATAATAGATCTCTTTTAGTATTTAAACTCCCCCCCCCTCAGTTTTAAAAGTAATGCACATTTATAATAGAAAATATAGAAAAGTTAGGAAAAGTATATGGAAGTAGACAGTGATCCTGCATCTTAAAGCAACCAGAGTTAATGTTGTGGGACATACCCTTCCAGCTTTTTACTTAATGCCTTACTTCTTTAATTTGGATATTACTACAAGTACAGCTTTGAATTCTATGTTTTCACTTACATATCTTGAATCACTTCATTAAAAATTTCTCAATTTTTTGTATAAAATTTAGGTTTTAAGTGAAGATACATTTTATTATAAACATATTAATAAGTGTTTCCTATTGAAAACAATAAAAATATAGAGAAGAAAAAGCCTAATAAAAATCACTCTTCAAGTTTTACTACTTAGTATTTTACATATGCTCTCTCAGTCTTCTTCTGATGCATGTCTTTGTTTTTTCGGAGTTAGAATATTTACTTATTTAGTCATTAGACTAGATTATTAAAAGTATGGTTAGAAGCAATAGGTAGTCAGCATGGCTTCACTAGGACAAAGATATGCCAAACTACATACTTACTTTTTTGGTATTGTTACTGTCTTGATAATTTGTAGCTCAGCACGTAACACCAGACTGTTGGGGTTTGTGTAGGGGAGCCCGCCTCTAGTAGTAGACTGTACAGTATATATATGGTTGTATATGTCCCTTGTCTTTAAAGTTCTGTAGAGGTATGATAATGTGCTTATACCATTTACTGAGTGTTCACAATCCAGGCCCTGTGGTTTTGTGCTTCCCCTAATCTTTATAACAGTCTGTATGATGGATGGTGTTTTTCCTATTTTATCGATGGGGAAACTTGTATTTTAGAGAGGTAATTTGTCTGGAATCATACAGGTAGAAATAGTGTCTAAAGTGAAAGCTCCTGAAATTGATCTTGGAAATATCTGCTTTTCAATTTGAGCTAGTTTATTTGGACCCAGTCTTCCCTGTAAAAAATGCTGGAAAGAACTTTTTTTAAACATTAATAAAAAAGTTCATGAAAACTATAATAGAAGAAATACTTGCAACATAAATCTTAGATGACAGAATCAAAACACAAAAAGATGCATATCAAGTGAGCCTGGAATTAACTGGAACATTTTATTTGGAGGAATGGTACTGGTGAATGGTTTCTTCATATGCTAATATATGTGTGAAATCTATAATGTTCTTCCTGGGATGAGCCATCTACTCCACTTAACAACCATTATCTCTATTCTCTGGGTGGGGGTGGAGTCTAGGACAGAATGGGAAGGGCTAGATTCAAAGATTTAAGAGCAAAGTTTCACTTGTGGGATTTCTTTCTGATGAAAAGGACACTTGTAGTAACTGCCATGGTAAGACTTGATACTTATGTAAAACTGAATTTTTATTATGCTTCTAGTTTTCTGACTTCCCTCTCTTATTTGTGCTTAATATTTAGTAAAACATTTTTATTTTATTATTTTTTACATTTTAAAAGGACAGGTTTATTAGGAAAAGGAGAAGGGGGGACGGGGGGAAAGGCAGGCAGTCTTGGAGAGAGCTGCCTGGTAAAACATGTCTAAAAGAAACCAGCCTGTTTTTCCAATTTATTTGGACTAGAGTTCTAAAGTGGGAGCATTAAGACTTTGGCAGACAGTGGGTCCGGCAGTTCAAGTGAAAAAAAGGGTTGCTTCATTCAACCGCTCCTTTCTTCCTGCTGATTTTCCTTTCAGTTTAAAATCTTAGACTTGAAAACTTAGGGATTCAATTTTTTGTTTTGTTTCGAAATCGGGGAGCTCTCTAAGGTTCACCCCAGATCTCAGGATTCTAGGAATTTGTTGTGCCTTTGGAATTGCTATACTTTACTGTTGGGTGAATTTTCAGAGGAAGAAATGGAGGCATAGTATCTGATCCTTGAGGTCCTCCTTTAGAGATAGAATGAAAGTTCCTTTTGGAAAAATGGAGGAGTATTTCCTTTCCAGATTCATGAGGGTAGTTAGTGGATGTCTTACAGCATTAACCTTGATGAATAGTGTGTTTTGTGCCGAATCACTGGTCCCTACTGTAACGCCTGCCATATAGCTTATGGCTGTGCATGGCCTTCTGGCATCCATTGAAATGAAGTAGATTAAGTTCTTAAAAGCAGAGGTTATCAGGCTCTGGTTATTTTCCTAGGAACACAGACAGACCTATGGGAACACTCGGGAACCTCTCTTGGAAAACCTGACTAGCGAGTATGATTTGGATCTTTTCCGGAGAGCACAAGCCCGGGCTTCCGAGGATTTGGTGAGTATTAAAACCTCCTTGCTAAGGACCACTTGTGAAAGGCTCTTAGAATGGCCAAGAAAAATGATCAGTCATCGGTTTGATGGGAATTAAATGTACCTTGCTGCTTGGAATCTCCTCTTCCCACAGCAATCTTTGAGACTGTCCTCATTCATATTTAAAATTAATGGCTCCTCTTCCCTTCCCCAGTTCCTCACAGTTTTTCCTTCTCTACCCCAACTCCTGGAAGCCAGGCAGAACAATAGGTGCTCCTTTGTCTCAGGTAATTTGCAATTCTGAGAACCTCTAGACTAGTTGCTACCCATCTTTGTTCTCTTAACCCTAACAGGAACTCCCTTTTTCAGGGCTTCCTCAACCCTCAATACTGCTATAAAAAACAGTGAAGAGTAATGGAAAGACTGTTGTCAGCTTTTTAGATTACATTTTAGAAGTAATTGTGACATGGCCAAATTTTATATATTAAAATGGTTTTCTGTTGACCCTTTGATCAAACTTTTATTGAGAAATCAGACTACCTTCTTCGAAGGCTGAAGGAAGTGTGGATGTTTTCAGATAGCTGAACAGAACAAATTACATGGGAATTAGCTACCAATTTGCTCTGTGTCAGACCCATCAAGGGACGACCCTCACACTCAGCTAGGCACCTTATTCAAGACGTATTAGTTATGTTGCCGAAAATCCATAGGTGTCTTTCTTATGAACTGGAGATGCAGTTTAAAGGTGTACTTTTGACTAGCCATCATTTAAAATTTTATTTTTACTTTAATTGAGGTGACATGAGTTTACAACACTGTAAATGTTGCAGGTGTACAATTTCTTTGCTCAGCAACTGTATATATCACACCACACCCACCACTCATCTGTTCTGACCTAAAATTAGGTCACACTTAGTTTTAATACCTGAGGCAGAATTTTCAACAACTTTAAGAAAATTTTAGTAATTGAGTTTACTTACTTACCAGATTAAATGTGTTCAGCAAAGCTTGCTTATAAAGTGACTCATATCTTTTAAAAAAAATTAATTCAGGGCCTCCTTGGCGGCCTAGGGGTTAAGTCTCAGTGCTATCACTGCTCAGGCCTGAGTTTGATCCCTGGTCAGGGAGCTAACCCACACAATGGCATAGCGGAACTCTCCCGTCTCCCCCAAGGCTCTCTTTCATGGTGTATTTTAGTAAATCTGCTGCCTTTTTATTTTTAAAGATTTATTTATTTATATAAGAACTGGGATACAGGCCAGGTGTGCTAGAGGGTAAGACGATTCACCAGAGACAGAGCAGGGAACAGTAGGCAGACTGACGAAATACACTCCTGAGGGGAGCAGCAGGCAAGACAGGAGAGGTCTGCCACGCCATGTGGGTTTCTCCCCAGCTGGATTGAACCCGCATCACAGAGGCTGCGGATAGCTTCACAGTGCAGCGCTCAACCGCCTGCGCCACCAGGGAGGCCCTGTTCTGCCTGTTCTGCTCCCCTCTGTCTCTGGTGAAACCTCCTAACCCCCACATCTTTGGCCTACACTCCGATTCTTATCTGCCAATAAGTAAATAAATCCCAACTGTTTAAAAAAAATTAGAGTACTTCCTTTAAAAATCCACAAATAGACTGTTGAAAACTTGTAGGAGGCAGTATTTAATAGTTGCCTGGGCCTGGGGTATGCAGCTTTCTGCTGTTTTTCCCTCTCCTGCCTCTGGGACAGTATTTCCTAGGCTTGACGACTCCCTGCCTGCTTGTGTATAAATACTGTGTCTATAACCCAACTCACAGCCCCTGAGAGGAGATAATCAAAAAAAATTTTCTGCTCTCTAGAGTTTAGATTCCAGAATTAAGTCATTGTACATGTTTCAAAAATACTTTTTAAAGTATCCACATTGAGTGGTGGGTGTCTATGTAAGTGCGGATATATGGCGTCCAGATTCAGATCTTTGTAAAAGCTGCAGATAACTACAGCACATTCTGTATCATTTTTTTCTATTTAGTTTAGAATGTTTCCTAAAGGGAGTCTGTACTTGTGGTAGATTGCCTTTATATTCAGTTTTGTCAGCCTGGTACTTGTTTCGATGTTCAGAGTGTAGTAGAGAGCAGAGGACAGCTAGCTGTTCACTATTGAGACCTGCTCAGGACAGGTAGGTAGGAAGTTTCCTGTAGGCCTTCCTAACTATCCATGCCCACGTAGCCCTCTTGATGTAAAATTGCTTTTGAGTAATTTCACTCAAACTAAAGACAGAAGCTAAATCTGTCTGAATTTTTTCCCCCATAGACTAGAATAATGGAATACCCAGAAATTTACTCGGGCGTTAAAAAATAAAGGTGATCAATTCTATTACTTCTTTAACTTTCGATTTCTTTACATAGGAAAAGCTAAGATTGCAAGGCCAAATCACAGAGGGGAGCAACATGATTAAAACAATTGCTTTTGGTCGCTATGAGCTTGATACTTGGTACCATTCTCCCTATCCTGAAGAATATGCACGGCTGGGCCGTCTCTACATGTGTGAATTCTGTTTAAAATACATGAAGAGCCAAACGATACTCCGCCGACACATGGTAGGTTGTCCTGGGCTTCTGTGCCTGTGATTGCCATGAGCTGTAGATCTCTAGAATTGGTCCTGAGGTGACATCTACCCGAGTGTATCTCTCACTGGTCCACCAGTGAGAAGAGATAAAGGCATCGGAGGCTTTGAAAGCCATGTTTCAGGGTGGGGAGGTGTACATCCTGGCACAGCTGGCATGCTGTGTGACACCCAAAGCAGATGATATAGTCCTTAACTACATCCTGTTGTGCACATGGCTCCATCTTTTTTCTTGCTGCCTGCTCAACTCCATTTCTTCCTTGGGATATGAATTACTTCTGCCCGCAGTTGATATGTGTCCCAAACTAAATGAAAAGGAATAGATTTCATTAGACAGCAGGGATAACATGACTCACTTATGTGTCCTTAATAACTAACGTGGGCCAATAAAGGCCCAGAAAATGTGCTGTTGAATGAACCCTTCTTTAACCAAGACAGATTATGAAATGAATGGAATGGGTCCGTTCGTACCTTCTCGAGTTTACTTAGTGTTTTCTGGTTTCAGAACACTTACAAATGGGGATAAAGATTTACATTTGATTTTTGTTAGCAAGTAAGCTTCTGGATATGTTGCAGCTTTCAGCCATTTTTATTTCCCTAATTGTGGAATGAAGTCGTGTCTATGGGATTTCTGCCCTTTGGGCAGGGATGGGGAAATGTTGAGGGGTAAACATTAGTCTGTCAGAGGGAAGACTTTTCTTCTGTAGTCACTGCATAATTGGTCCTAAAGCCATTTAGATGTCTCTTCCCCTCCATCTTTATTGCCCTGGATTTCCATATACTGAGCACCCACAACCCACGCAGGCTTTTCATGATTTCTGTCATTACATTCTTCCTCTCCCACCTTAGTGATTCTGCTTTTTTTGTGTTCCCAGTTTTGGGCCACATGCAGTCCATAGTTTTGTGGACTAGAACCATTCCTGTGAATTAAGCCCCCAGACTACGCCAGGCTTGACTTGGGGTGGGCGTAGAATGCCGGAGAGGGAAGGTAATATCTATGGACTGGTGCAGACACTAAGACACATGGGGTCATGGTTTCCAAAGTTGGGCTACATGATTGTAGACCATGGAGATAAACTAAAATATGGTTTTGCTATTGAAAGTAAAACTGGTATTTTGATTGATGTGAACTGCTTACCATTTATGCCCCCTCTCATTCCTGCTTATTTTATGTTATTAACCATTGAAATAGCCAAAAAGGGCAATAAATAGTATTAGGGGGAGAAAACAGAGGATCTAGATAAATTTGATTATATTATACAATTATGAAAATTAAATATCAGGAAATAGATGCCTATTTTAATCTTCTGATTCCTGTCATTTCAGGTAATCGCAGAAATGGGCCCTCTTGCCATTTGGCCAACAGTATGGCTTCTCTTTTTAAACAAATAATTGTTGGATTAGTTTGGTTATTGTTGGAGAGAGCCAGCATGAGTTAAAGGGTGGAGATAGGAACAAACTGTAGGTGGAGCTTTCTTGAAGCAGTTCTACTTAATAAATATGTGGATTTACATGTTTAAATTGGGGCATGATTTTTTTTGGGGGGGTTGGCATGATTCTTGAGTTAACCAAAACAAGGTAAAATTTAATTGAAACCTCCATATACATGTGCTTTTTAAACTGTATTTTTAAACCTAATTACATAAAACCTTTTAAGAATTCACCTATTCATAGCAGTTGCTGACAGGTTACATTAATCTATTAAGAATTGAGTGAGGAAAGGGGTGCCTTATGCCCCCTTGTGGTCATCCCCCTTCCAGCTTCTTGCTATTCAACCTGGCTGCTGCTTTGGCTTTTTTTTTTTCAGCCATAGAAGGACTTGCTCCTATTTCCTTGTATTACAAAGGAACACTTTGGGAAGGGGTGGGTGAGACTGTTTTCTAATCTTAAGAAAAGGAAGAGCATAATAGTTAAGTGGTAAGAAGTTACTGGTAAAGGTGAGGGTATAAGTATTCCCATCTTTACTTAGCCAACTCTAAGCTGCTGGACAAAAGCTGCTTAAGAATTTCCTGTTGGTGCGAGGCATTTTATATTTATAATAAGGTATTTTTTATTTATCTGGCTTTTACGTAGTAGATGAATTTAATCTCCTGGGTTGTAACAGTGCCAGAATATAATCAAAAAAGCTTCAAACTGCTATAAAAATATAATAAATGCATTACAGTGAATTTAGAAGTCTTTGTTTTACTGAAAAAAATCTCCGCTCTATATTCTCAAGTTGTTGGCTTACTGTCTGTCATCTCAGCTAACTAGATTTGCCCTGTGATTCCTTTTCCTTTTTGAGTAGCTGTCTTATTGGGGAGATTTGTTTATGTTATGTGAATTTGATTCTCTTGCAGGCTAAGTGTGTGTGGAAACACCCACCCGGTGATGAGATCTATCGCAAAGGCTCAATCTCGGTGTTTGAAGTGGATGGCAAGAAAAACAAGGTGTGAAACATGGTGATGAAAGAAGCGGGTGGTGGTGGTGACAGGCTGCCGCTGACAGGCTTCAGAAGTAGTTTCTGTCTCCAGCTTACCTTGCGAAGAAGATGGAATTCTTTACAGACAGTTTCTGTTTAATTAGAAATAATGGCATGGTCTTTAATTTTAGGCCTTTATCAGATAAGTTTAGAAATCACTGGCCTATACATGAACTCTTGTTTCTCTGCTTCCAGATTTACTGCCAAAACCTATGCCTGTTGGCCAAGCTTTTTCTGGACCACAAGACATTATATTATGATGTGGAACCCTTCCTGTTCTATGTTATGACAGAAGCGGACAACACTGGCTGTCACCTGATTGGATATTTTTCCAAGGTCAGGAGGATCTGGAGATTAAGAAGCTGACCAGAGCAAGCAGGGTGATTGATGTTGGCATATGGAGACTCAAATCACCTACAGAAGAGGCAATACTCTGGACGATGACAGCTCTTTAAAAAAAAAAAAAAAAACAAGCTGTTCCACATGTCAAAGATTATTTAATGAAAATATACAATTCTTTATTAAAAGCTTCGGGTTTATTCATTTTTTGATTCGTGGGTTGGAGCAGCCTATTAATTACTGGCCAAGCCCCTGCCTACCAACCCGCAAGCCCACATCTTACAGTCAAGCCAAAGCTCCTGGCTTTGCCCTCTTTGTTATTAACTTAAAACCAGGAATAAGTTCCTTTAACCTGGCTTGCTAGCTGGGCTGTCAGCGATAACACAACTTTCCTTGGAAAACTCAAGGCCAGATTTTGCTTATGACATTTTTCTTTTACTTAAGACTTTTAAATATAATAACTATGTTTTGAACATAATTCATGTCTTAAAATTCATCATTTGAAAGTGTACAATTCAGTGGGTTTTAGTATAAATTGTGCAACCCTTGCACAATTGCACTGATCAGTTTTCATTACCCCTGTGAAAAATCTCATACCAATGAGACACCACTTCCCATTTCTGCTCAACCCCCTCTTCTCCTCTGTCTATAAATTTGTCTGTTATAGACACTTCACAGAGGCATACAAATGTGATTTTGTTTTTTAACCCTTGGCTTTCAGAATGGTAACTTATGTTTCAGATCCCTCATTCCTATGACAACCTCCTTTTGGAAAATTGCTTTTAAAGTGGGCTGCTCTAGATTGACTCAGCAATCTCAACCTTGCCCTGTTTGCTCTGACTGTAAGAAAGCTGAGTCGGCCCCCCTTAAAATGAGACTGGAGGTCTTGGAGCTAGGGAAACCACAGGATTAATGGCTTTGGCCATTGTCAGGGGTGTGGAGGCAACAGCTGTGGGTCTGATAGCCACTCCCCAGGACTGGTTAGGCAAATATTTTGCAAGCAGTCTTTGTATCTGTGGGACAACTGACATCTTTGGTTTTCAAAACTAATGACCTACCATCCATTTGCTCTTGGTTTTAGGAAAAGAATTCATTCCTCAACTACAATGTATCCTGTATCCTTACCATGCCTCAGTACATGAGGCAGGGCTATGGCAAGATGCTCATTGATTTCAGTAAGTGAATCTGCTAAGGCAAGGCCATGTGTAGGTTTTTTATGGGCTCTACAATTGCCAGTATGGATTGGGAAGACTGATACTTACTATGTGTATGAACTTGGACATAGTTGGCCTGGTACACATTGAGCACAGTGAATGTAGGGCGATGACCTGCCTCCTAATACTAGGAGATAAAGAGGATAATAAAGTAAGGTTTTTAGGATTATCCCAGTTCGAGACTTAGTGGTAATAGCACAAGGCTTCAAGTCTGTTTTTGGATGCCAGGTATTTTAGTTTTGTAAGGACTTTCCTAGAGGCGTTTTTTGTTATACCTGATAGAGACTTTGAATTCATTAATCATGTATTCTGTGTTTGGAAATTTGCTTACTCACTAAAAGTTGTTTGTAACCCCAGAAGTACCAAGAGTATTGGTACTTCTGCATTTAGTTGTGACACGTAATAGTAGCAAAAAGGAAGTCACTGCTTGTTCCCAGCTGAGGTCGATCAGGATGCCATGTTTCAGTTCTCAGTGTAAACAAGTATCCTTTTCATGGCCCATTAGTTCCACATTTTATTTATTTTAGTGCTTTTTGTTGCTGATATTAAATGACCTCTACATGTAGTGCCAAGTGCTGTCTGGAGGGCTATAATGTGCCTTACAGAGAAGAACCTGTGTTAGACAGGCTTCATTCAGGCCCATGTTACTGTGTTGTTACCCATGAGTTCAGTGTTAAAATAATCAGCAGTATATATTAATTTAGGGATTTTTAAATGGAAGCACATAGAATTAGGTTACATGATTAGTGACAAAAACATGACCGGATTTTTCACTAATTCATTGTGACTTTACAGAACACAGTTGCTATAAATCATGAGAATCAACTGTCTCTTATTCAGTGTTCACTGTTATGTGACATATTTTAGTCAGAGTTAGAATTCTTAGAATGAGCCTTCCATTTTTAAGCCATTTAGGAAGAGATAAATCATAAGGTGGCAGAATCCATTAAGAGAAGTAGGCACTGTTTATCTTTGAATAATCAACACCTATTTTATAAACTTGATTTTATGGAAATTTTCAAACATGCAAAGGTAGCATAATAACCTCTATGATTACCATTTTATGGCTAAAGTCTTATTTTACCTATATTTTCCACCCTCAATTATTTTGATATCTCTAAGGTCTATTACATCAAAAAAACAGCCTCAGATTTCTTTTTTTTTTTTTAAGATTATTTGTTTGTTTGTTTATTTATTTGTTTGTTTGTTTATACAAGCACTGGGCACAGTCAGAAACGCGGGAGGGTTAGAGAATTCACCAGAGCCAGAGTGGGGAGCAGCAGGTGGCAGGAGAGGTCTGCGTGCCATGTGGGACCCTCCTCCCGTGGCCGGGGAGCAGCTGGGGATCAAACTGGTGCTTCAGAGCCGCAGCCTCGCAACCCAGCGCTCAACCGCTATGCGACCGGGGAGGCCGAGCCTCAGATTTCTTAATAGCGAAAATTGTAATATTCAACCTTGCCTAATTTTGTTCTTTTTTCCCCTTAAGTAATTATTTTTACTCATATCCAAATAGAATTGATATATTGTTATCAGTAGATGTGGTCTATACATTTACTCTGAAAGTTCCCCTTCCATTTCTTTATTTCTTTTTGAAGAAAGTAAGTTATTTATTGTTGAAATAATTTAGTAATCTAGTAGAGTTTCCCAAAGTAAAAATTTTGCTGACTCTATCCCCGTACTGTTCGAACGGTTGATTTTTAAATGTTAGAACTAGAGGCTTGGTGAGATTCAGATCTCTACCACTTCATAGGTGGTACTGAGGTAATCTGTTAACAGTTCAGAGATTTGAGAAATATGAAAAGCTGCATAATGAAAGGCTTTCCATCTCCTTGCCAATCTACCTGTTCTCAAAACATACCATTGTCATGAAAGTTGCTAATGAAGCTTTCCATAGTTTCTTACTGTTTATTATAAATAAATACAAATACACCTCCTGTTTTGTTTATACAGAGGCAACATATACCACAACCGCATGGTATTCCAATGCAGGACTAAACCCTAATTAATATTGTAGAACAGCCTGTATACTTTACATATTGACACACTTTTGGTATTAGGATGAGAAACAGTGTTAGAAAATATGTGTTGTTTTTTGTTCCCTGGCAGGTTATTTACTTTCCAAAGTGGAAGAGAAAGTTGGCTCCCCAGAACGTCCTCTCTCAGACCTGGGGCTCATAAGCTATCGCAGTTACTGGAAAGAAGTACTTCTCCGTTACCTGCATAATTTCCAGGGCAAAGAGATTTCTATCAAAGGTTGGTTTTGACTCTAAGATGATTGTTACTCAAGTCGTTACATACACTAAATAATCTAACTTGCGTACCCGGTAAGCACTGTTATAGCTTTGTAACCTGCAAGGATAATGTGCTGTTCTGTTTCATCTGAAGATGAGAACAGGTGATGCACTGAAAATGGGCCCTTGCAGAAACCTGTTAGGGTACCTAAAGATTCCAGAACATTTGGCCCGTAGTTATATGGTTCATTTTCTCAAATCTGGCACTGCTAACACTTGAACATGTCGAGAAAGAAGACACATCCAGGAGCTTCTAATGTATCTCTATTTATGCAAGGGAAGACAAATTTAGTTTGATCTGTCTTTGGCCTTGATTTCTATCAAGGGCAAGAATGATTTCTTGCTGTAAGATCCCTCGTTGGTCGTTATTTGGACTGGTCAACTGAATGCTTTCTAAACTTTTTCTGAACAAGTTGGATTGAGTATGGAAGATTTCATCCATTTGCAGTCCGCTTGGATTTCCTCGAAGGGAAAGAGAGCTTTGGTAGCAGGGTAGGTAGGTCTGTGCTATGGCCAGGTTCTCAGTAGTTTTTCTATTTCAGAAATTAGCCAGGAGACAGCTGTGAATCCTGTGGACATTGTCAGCACTCTGCAAGCCCTTCAGATGCTCAAGTATTGGAAAGGAAAACACCTAGTTTTAAAGAGACAGGTAAAGTTATCAGCTGCTTGCTCATTGCTGAATATACTTGAGGCTATTAACAGCAAAGTGGGGCCTTAACACCTAAAAGGTAATCCTCCTTTCTTAAAGGAATTTGACTCCACATATCTTTGACTTGGTCTCATTTCTTTAGCGTCCAGTGATGCCTTTGTTTTTTTTTTTTTTTAAAGACTTTCTTTTTTTTTTTTTTTTAATAGAGGCATGTCTTATTTATTTATTTATTTTATTTGTTTGTTTGTTTTTGTTTATACAAGCACTGGGTACAGTCAGAAGCGTGGGAGGGTGAGAGAATTCACCAGAGCCAGAGTGGGGAGCAGAGCAGGCAGAAGGACTGAAGTACACTGCTGAGGGGAGCAGCGGGCGGCAGGAGAGGTCTGCGCACCATGTGGGATCCTCCTCCGGTGGCCGAGGAGCAGCCGGGGATCGAACCGGCGCTGCAGAGGCTGCGGGCAGCTTCGCAACCCAGCGCTCAACCGCTGCGCCACCGGGGAGGCCCCAGTGATGCCTTTGTTAAGCTTATCTCCTACCTTATCCTTATCAGAGCTTTTGGTAAGCTCCTGTCTCAAATTTGGGTGGCACAAGATAAGTAGCTCCAGTTAAGCAGCTTTATGTCTCAGTACTTCCATCACTTGGTGATTTTCTTGGATTGGAGAAAATCGCCCATCTGTAGAGAAGGATCTTCACCAACTGCAGTGCTCATGGAAGTGGTTTAAATTCCTTTAACATATGCCATCTCAGCTCATGCAACTGTTTTAATGGACTCATCCGTGTTGTAAGAAAATATAAGTAAGGGGTTTCAGTTCTCAATATGGCATAGAAGAAGAAACAGATTGGATAGGAAAGCATTTTGTGAGTAAAAAGGTCTTTTTTTTTTTTTTTTACACTGTTGCATTACTAGTAAACCTTTGGCAATTCCTTTTTCATAGTCATTTTAGTATCCACCTTTACACGACATTTTAGTTGAATGCGCATCGTAATTTTTCCTGTTCTTCTCCTCCAGGACCTGATTGATGAGTGGATAGCCAAAGAGGCCAAGAGATCCAACTCCAATAAAACCATGGATCCCAGCTGCTTAAAATGGACCCCTCCGAAGGGCACTTAAAGTGCCCTGTTACTCTGAGCCAGCGAACCCCAGCAGTAGGAATCCGTGCCCTAGGGATCTGTCTGTCATTTCTGTTGCTCTTGTGATTGGCAAGTACAGTGTCCTTTGGGAAGGCCACCCCCTCAGGACTGTCCTGGCTCCGACCTTTGTGTACACTGCAGACGCTGGTTCTGAGGAACTGTTGTTTCGGCCTCAGTGAGGTTGCCTGGATGGGATCTCTATTAGACTTGAGCGTGGATCCCTCGTAGCACTGACCCAAGGTGTTCTGTTGGGTACTGCGCCTGTCCAGTCACTGGTTCTCTCCTCATGTTCTTTAGCCCCATGAGGTTGTGTCGTGTCTTCTAAACTTTGTACTTGTGCTTCTTGCTGCCCAGGTCTGCCCAGTCACCAGACCTCCAAATGTGGTTGTCACCACCGGCACCTTTCCATTTAGCCTTCACACGTGATTTTTGGAGGGGCAGAGGAGAGGTAGCACTTCTGTGTGTGTATTGGGAGGGGTGTATTCCCTTTGAATTTCATCTCACTTTAATTTTTTTCCTCCATTTTTATTGGAAGACCTTTTCTTATTTGTGCTCAGTATCAGGCTGACCAGAGCCATACTTTTTGAAGACTCCCCAGGGATTACTTTTGGTAACAGCCCATAATCTATCTGAATGAGATAGAAGAATTAAGAGGTGTGGCAATTATGTATTTTGATTTGAGTTCACCTGTGGGCAGTGGGCAGTGCCTTGGTGGAAGGGAATGAACACTTTCTGCCTCACTATAAGTGTCCCATGGTAAATGTTTTCTCTCCCGTTACTTCCTGTCCCTGCCAAAATAATTTCTAGTTCTCCCTTTCAGGCTCCATGTTAAATGGTTAATTATACTGCAGAACCTTTTCACCAGTGTCAGTCTGACTTGGCACACTGATAATTCTGCATAAGTTTATTTTTATCTGAACATCCTCAGAGAAGTAGAAAGTGATCAATAGTGACTCCTGTCACCCAGCCCATGGCTCAGCCAGGTCGAATGGCCACTCCTGTCAAGGTTTGCTTCTCTGTTAAACAGTGCCTCACCCTCCCACTAGGGCTGAAGTGCTTGTTCTTGTCCTTCCAAGAACTCCTCCATTTCCTTTTTGGGATTTGCCATCATTCCCCTATTCTCTGGTCTCCTATTTTGGGTGGTGTTCATGTGAAGGAAAAGATGGCTCCCTCTAATTTCTCTAGCCCACTATAACCCACTATCCCGGGGCAGCTTTTGATGTATGACATGTCACCCTTCCCAAATTGTTCTCCTCCAACACTGCTGTCTTCATGTGGCGTCCTCACCACAATCCCGACTCTGGTCATTTGTGCCTTTCTCTTCTCATCTCCGTACACTACTTATACTCACTGTGGGTTGGGGGGAGCTAATTTTAAGCATGTTCAGTGGCAGCTCCCCACCAGTTTCAGTGTCACTGTTAAAATATCCAAAAGCAACTTCACTGGGGGTTTTCTTAAGGGGTTAAAGGCCTTTTACAGAAGCTAACCCTTCCCCACATGTGGTAGAATGTGCTGTTCTATATCTACTCCTCAATAAAGCATGTTCTCTGCTGAAACCTGTTTGCACCCAGGGGCTCTCATTTATGTATGAAAATGGTGCAGCTGACCTGCTACTAACAGTAAATGCACTTAGGATTTACTTTTTTTCCAAGCAGCCAACTGTGGTATGGTTTGTGACTGTGGATCTTTTTTTCCTCTGTGATGTGGGCTGTCTGTGGAGGGGGTGCTTATTCTGAACTTGTCTACTTGGGATATGTCCTCTCTGGCTCACTTTGGTTCCAACCAGTAGGCATGCATAGCAGGGACTAGTCAGTATTTTAAAGTGCATTTTCCTCTGATTTCAAGGTTAAAGGAACCAACAGGAAGATACCCATGGAGGTGGGAGAGCATACCCCTTCTCATCTCCAAGTTCATTTGCCAATAGTGAGCAGTGTCACTGCTAGTTCTTTACTTTTCCAGGTTGAGGTGATTGCTGCATTTTTCTGTAGCAAGTACTCAAACGCAGGTAAAGGTTTTGGAGAAGGAAACCTGGAGCCCAAGGTGACACAGTAAGCGATGAAGCCAGAAACCTCCTTTTGCTCTGTCCAACTTGAGAGCCCATGCCCTCCCCTCTGCCAGTTCCTTCCTTGCCTCTGATTCTTTAATGATGAATCATCTTCTCGTTTCTAGTTTTCTTTGCTTAAACCACAGGCCTTCATGCTTCTAATGGCTTCCTTTGCCAGAAAAATGAAACTGGTGAAAACTTTGGGATAAAAGTTGGTTTTAGTTGATATTTGTGGGCTGGGGAGCTAAATAAGGAAGCAAAAGATGCCTCGTGCTAGCTGTGCGTCTGAGAGCAAGCTGTCTAGTGGGCACTGCCGCTTTGCTTACAAGGTCTCCTTCAGTCCTCACCATACCACCACCATAAGGTGGGTGTTTTATCCCTTTTCCACAGGGAATAAATCAAGGCTCAGAAGCCTTGCTGATTCCAAATCCCATGCTTTTGACATTGCTGTCTTGAGACATGGAATGTCTGTATTTCTTTTTCTCACAAGAGAATAGTGGGTTGTATTAGGTAATTTTCATGTGGCATCCTCTCTATATGGCAAGACGATGCTTCCCATGTGGCCGTAGCTTTGGTTTTTTCCTGAGGTTCTAGGCGGTTGCCTGGGTAGGGTTAGGAATGACCTTGAATGGAGTTGTCTGTAAAGCCAGTTGGTTCAGATCAGGGTAGGGGCTACATATGAAGAGTCAGTATAGAAAAAGATCACAGCTTGCTTACAGTACACATTCCTTCTGGAACATTAAGAACAGCTTTGTAGATTTGTAACTTTTTTTTTTTTTTAAGGGCTTTTTTTTTATTGTTAAGATTTATTTATTTATTTATACAAGCACTGGGTACAGTCAGAAGCGCGGAGGGTGAGAGAATCCACCAGAGCCAGAGCGGGGAGCAGAGCAGGCAGACTGAAGTACACTGCTGAGGGGAGCAGCGGGCGGCAGGAGAGGTCTGCGCGCCATGTGGGACCCTCCTCTGGTGGCCGGGGAGCAGCCGGGGATCGAACCTACACTGCAGAGGCTGCGGGCAGCTTCGCAACCCAGCGCCCAACCGCTGTGCCACCGGGGAGGCCCCGATTTGTAACTTTTCAAAGGCAGTCATAAACACATTGGCTTTTAACTCCCTTGAAGGTCAGGTGATTTTTGGTGGCATTGGCCATACAGGTTTTTTATGAAGGGTGTGAAGAGCAAGCAGCATGGTTCTCAGCAGTTATTCTTTCCCTTGACCTTTTGAGAATCTAATCAAATCCAGGTCTTTTGTTATCTTAATGCAAATAATCATGCATTTGTTGGTAGTTCAGAAAATCAAGGTTTTGAAGTCCATTCCTGAACATGGGGGTAAGAAATAAACCCCAGCTTGAAAAAGAAAGCCCCAAAGAGGACTCCCAGCTCCACACACTACTGGCGCTAAGCTAGCTCTTTTAGTGTGCTGGCTCACGTGGCCCTCAACATTATTTTCCTTCCCATGGCCTCACAGATACATATATATGCAAAATGTTGTATAGGGTTTTGTATGTTAGAATATTGTATGCAACGTGTGCTGGGAATTCTAGAACCTACCTTTTATTTTCTTTGGGATCCTGGAGTTAGAGAATTGGCCCCCTACTAATTGTGCTCTAGAATTTTTCTACCACAAACTTGTATGCCTGCTTCTTCCAGCCTGTTTCCTGCTGATGGGACAGTATAATTGCCCACATCCTTTGGTATCTTGAACAAAATGCCCATGGATGTCATTAAGAAGGAATCAAAGGACTGCCAGTGGTGCAGAATGTCCCTGCTGCTGAAATAATTGGTTTGTCACTTCTGTCTTGTGCAGTACCTTTAGAAGAAGGTCGTGTTGCCACCATTTTTAGGGTCTGGGGGTTGGTTTGTGCGCAGGAGTGGAGAAGTAATGTGTGCTATTGCGTAACTTTGGCTCCATTTCTCCACCCAAATGTTCTGTGTGAGATATAAACATCTTAATTCTCCACGTGTCATGTTCATTCCAGGAAGTCAGCCTTTTTTACCAGGGTATTTATTTTGAGAAACAACTCACACTTACTCTGTTTCAAAGTTACTATAAACTTATGCTAGAACATCTCTCGAGATGCCCACCAGCAATTGCTCCCATCTCTGGATGTGTGTGCTGCTCCTCCAACATGGGCTATTTTCCTTCTCAAGTGTGGGCTGGACTTTTAACTTGTTTGCACTAACCCAGTGTGGCAGGAGTGATATCCTGTAGCTTCCACTTTGGCTTTTGGAAACCAGTTGACTTGTTTGCAAACCTGAAGTTGGAGCTAAACTGAACAGTGGTGAGGAGGTAGAGGCAACCGTGTGTGGGAGCACCAAGATGCTCCGCCAGCAGCAAGAACAACCCAGACCCTAAAATCCCACCTGAATGTGACCTCTTGAGCAATCCTGTTCGAGCCCAGGTGAAGTTAATGAGTCTTGCCAACCTGGAGAATTTGGAGAAATGCTGTTGAAGCAGTTATTTGGGAGTGGTTTGATAGCACTAGGTAAGGGGAATGAGGACTTTTTGAAACCAAAGCATTTGTGTGTTCCTTGCACTAAATGTCTGTGATGAGGAGAAGGTGCACCCAGAGGAGGGCTGCCACCTGTGTAACTCCCAGGGGTACCCTTCCCGTTCTTTGAGTTGGCACCCTCAGAACCAGTGCAGCTCCTGTTGGTCATTTGGTCTGTCTTCTGAGGTCCCTGCCTTGGAATTCTTAGCCACCTCCTTGCAGCAGCAACTGAGGGAGTGAGTTTTCTCTCAGGACTAGGCTCCCCACTTCCTGCTCCAGTGTTCATGTGCCTCCCCATTGCTTATGGATTGGGTTCCCCTTTGTCATGGTTAATTCTCCGTAAGTAGCTTTTGCCATTTCCCTGCTCATAGCATGGTTGTGTTCATGCAACTGACAAAGTCCCCCCTCCTGGCCTAGATGGGAAAGCCTGTACCTCAGCACCCCCCAGAGTACCCCACAGGCAAGAAAGGTACTGTAGTTAAATAAATTTGGAAAACATTGAGTTAAGAAATCAGCATGTTTTCTTATGTGAGGGCTTCTCAAAATCTTGGTATTTTCTAAGAGGGAGATACATTGTAATATTCCTGAAAATAATAGTTTCATTACTACCCACTCATAGGCCCAGCTAAGGGAATTTCTTGTGACATCTTGATCTCTCCACCTGAGACTTGTCTGTAGGATTATGGTGTAGCCTGAGTGGTTGATTGTGGTGTCAGAAAGCCTTGGCTCAAACCCTGGTGCTGCCATTCCTGTGACTTAAAGCATCTGAAGGACGAGTATAACCTTCCTTAGAATGAAGGTTGCCCAGCAGAACATTCGACACAGACACACACTGATAAACAAAAGATGAATTTGCAGTCTCCTTCAGAAAGCTCAAATACATGTGGTTTCTAGTTGTCATCAGTGCTTTGAAGCAGAAATGTCAAAGTGTGTGAGCCTAACTTGAGGATACTAGCAGACTTGCTGTGGCAGAAGCCCTAACTGCCGCAGGACCTGATCTGGGACCTGAAGGGACTGGAGCATTGTTTAGACTGGAGAACCTGAAGCAGGCAAGCACAGGGCCTTGGAGCCTCGAGGAGAATGTCGGCTTTGCCACCCCACACCCCTGGGGTATTTCTCACAGAACAAGGGTGAGGTATGAGAAAAAAAAGTGAAGCTTGCAATTCATTCAAGGCTCATGAACAGTCCTAGACTGGAGATTGTCCTCAGGTCTTTGGAAGAATACTTAAGTAATCATAACTTACACCTTAGCTACTTGACCTTTTAGTGGCTTTCGCTGTCGCTAGAACCTTCCCAGGCACCCAGATGTAGGGCCTGCCGTCTATGCCAATGCTTTCCCCTCTGAACATTCAGGCCATCCCCACCAAAGAAGCGAGATACCCAAAAAACTTCTAGCACATTTTCTTGGAGACAGGGACACCCAGAAGCCAGATGTTGACTATCCTAGTGAAGGAACCAGCCTCCCTTTGCTGTGGAACCCACGCAAGTGCCAGCTGACTCCTTTGTTCAGTGCTGTGCTTGTGGCCTTGAGCTTACTCTGGCCAACATGCTTCTTTCTAAGCTTCTTGGGCTTTGTCCTGGCTGCTGGTAAACCACTGGGGCACAGACAGTTCTCCCCATCAGACTTGGGCTCAGCAACCCTCAGGATGGTTTGAGTTCTCTGTGCTCAGGGCTGGGAGAGCTCAGGGAATGATCAACTGCCTGGGTCCCTGAAATGAGGGAGGATTGAAAGACCTCACACCCAGTTCTCTAAGAAGATGTGGACTTGGTGCCTTGCAGCAGTGATTGGGGCTTCATGGTATTCTAAAGGGAAAAGCTCCCTGCCTTAAAGTCCCTTCCACTCCAGAATACCTGCGATACCTCCCCACTTTGTCAAGGTTACTTTCCGTTTTCTGTCATCCTTAACCTGTGCCCCAAGCTTGCTTTCCACTTGAGGAAAATTCCCTTTGTGAATCTGGAAACGGCCAGTGGCCTGCTGATGTGCCCTGAACCAGAGGAGTCGGTCATTGTTCATTCCTTTATTGAGCCCCTACTGCGCCCTGAGCTTTTAGGGGAGAGGAGTGGGTGTGGCTGGATCCTGCTGTGCAATGAGGTGAAAGGGGCAGAGGGAGAGCAGGCTCACTGCAGCTGCAGTGGTGACAACAGTGCGTTTATGCGAGACTGCTGCTTGAGGCCGCCGGTCCTGGAATGAGTTCAGTGAGGGCCTGTGGACACACCAGCGTTGAGCCCAGGTGACACTGAGGAGTCTTGGCCCAGCAGCTGGTCGGCTGTGTGGTCCAGGTAGGGAGAACGGGACTTCCGTCTCCAGGAAGCATGCACTGGGGGTTTTCACTTGGACCCCACGTCCTCATCCTCTCTGCCTGGGGAGAGCTCTGCACATAGAATGTGGTTAGGGGTGTCTTCTCATCCCTCCACCTGCAGAGGCATTCCCTGCCACACCGTTTCCTGCCTCAGGTTTCCTGCCTGTCGATATCTAGGGTGACCAAATCACAGACTCATCTGCTGTATCCACCATTGCACCATCATAAAGGCCTCCAGAGTGTGGATGGGCCATCCCTCAGTTACCCTCTGAAGTTGGGGACAAAAAAAGTACTGTGGACTAGAAACAATACAGCTTTTGGTCCTGGCCCTGTTACCAGCTCACTGTGGTTTGGGGCAAGTTGCTTTCCATCCCTGAGAAGAGATGATTTCTTAAGGTCCACACTAGATATGCAGTTAATTTATTTCTAATTGGTGTTGGAGTGACTCCCACAACCCACTGAAGGAAACACCTCAAAAAAAAAAACCCTCAGGGAAAACATGTCCTGTCTTCATTCCCAAGAGCCTGAGTTAGCACGAGCACCTGTTCTGTGCGGGAAGTTAGTGAGGTCCAGATGTCTGCGGCTCTGGGGGAAAGGCCAGGTGAAAGGGACACTGGGGCTCAGTGTCTTGACTCGCTGGGACACCCCCTGCCCTTTGTGCTGTGCTGGCTGGAGCTGGCTTTCTCCCAACCTGACTCCAGCTTTCGTGCTTGTCCCCATGAGTCTATTTGGAGTTGTGGCTCCTACTGGTAGGGGTTAGCTGGTAACACCCTCCTGGGATGATCTGCACGTAGAATTTTTGGAGACAGAAAATATCTTAAGATTGAAAGCATGAGTCTAGGATTCACCCCTACACACCATTCTGCTACCTGGAAAGGGGAGCGTAGGGCCTGGGTGTGTGGGTGCAGGTAGTGACAGGACTACTGGTGTTTCAGCCCTGGATTATCAAAGGGACCACTTCCTCTGCTTCGACTATACTCTGCAGTCTCTGCCTGGTGGCAAGTGGGGGGCCCGTTCCATGGAGACTGGCAGCACAGTGGCCACTTTCCCTAAGATGCTCTTGCAATCCACTACAGGCTTCACCTACCTTCTGTAGATGGTCCTTTCCTGCCCAGGAGGTCCTGGACCATTTGTCCTCGATGATACCCTAGTGATGGAGAAGAGAGACAGGAGGTGCAATAGTGGAACGCTGTCTTGAAACCAAGACGGCCAGGGCCAGGGCCAGAGGTAGGGCCTGGTAAATGAGAGTGTTTCTCAATCATCCTAGGAGTCGAGGAAAACCCATGAATTGGTTCATTCACTCACTGATTCATCAACTGAGTCCTTTCTTTCTCCCTTCTGCCCTTCCTTCCATAAACAACCTCAAGGGTGTTTCTAATATAAACTGCTGGGTGTTGGGGATACCAAGGAGATGGCAAACCTGGCACCTGCCCTGGGGCAGATTTCTAGTCCGGGGACAACAGCTGTGTGACCCAGCAGGACAGTGCAGTGCATTGTGCCAAGGAGAGCTTCGGGGCCAGGCCCTGAGAGAAGCTCCACCTGGGCAGGGCAGGCAGTCTGGAAGGAGAGAGGCCTGGGAGTCCGTGAGGGCAGCCCAGAGGACGTGGTGAGTCATGTTGAGGCGCTGGACTTGGTCCTGGGAGCACCAAAGGATGGGTGTGTAAAGGTTGGTTATTTTGGTTGATTTTATTCTGTTTTACCGAAGGGGCTTTAAACACGCTACTGCTCGCTTAGATAGGCACTTCCAAGATAATCTTTGAGTCCAAGGTGAGGAATGGATTGATCCATTTTTCCAGTTCCATGCTTTAGACCCAAGGTGATTTTTGAACTAGACTCATCCCTGTCTCCTTGTCCCTGTGACTACTCCGTTGACATGAAACAACCAGGAGGTTGTCTAAGGAAGCAACCAGGAGGCTGAGTGTGGCCGATCTGCACCCCCACCTCCACTGCCAGTGCGGTCTGTCTCCCGTCAGGCTTGTTAGTGGTTAGGACAACTCGGCTAACCCCTCAGGGAATATGCCAAGGGGAGGGTCTGGTTGACAGTTTACCTGTTCTTCTCTCTGACTGGAGAGGAGGTATTCCTGGGGGAGAGAAAAAGAAGGAATGAAGGCCACACTGCTTCCCTGGGGGCTCAGTGATGTGGGAATGGCTCATGGCTCTCTGGGGTTGGGTGCCTTGGTGGGGCTTCAGGGGAGCTCCAGTCCCTCCCCGATGTCCTCGTGTGGCTGGGCCACTCTGCTGCTCCTGGCAGAGGCAGCGTGACAGTATGGGAAGCACACAGATTTGGGCACTGGCACTGGCACCAGCAGGTCATCCTGGGAAAGTGCTAGACTTTTCTGGGCCTCAGCTGTGAGATATAATCACATGTGAGCACAGTAGGAGCTCAAGGAATGTTCCCCTTAGACTCCCACCCTGTGCTTCTCATGGGTTGGGTTTAGAAGAAAACTCTGAAGTGGTTCAATCTAAAACTCATTTTGTAGAGGAGAAAACTAAGGTTTGAAATGTCTGGTCACATGATGGTTTTTTCTATTTTTGTAAGCATTTTTTAAAAATCACAAAGCATTCCTAGAATGCATACCAATTATAAAAAGGGTCAAGTAATGTGGAGGTTTGTACACTCTCCCTCACCACCACCTCTAATCCTGGAGGTAGCCACTGTTGATGTATTTCCTTTTAGAACTTTCCTTATGCATCTTTATGTATATGTGTGTGTGTGTGCATTTAGTTTTGTTAAAAAACAAGTACTTTTTTTCCACTTAACCAGTACCACAAAGGTTATGGATATGCCTAATATATTGTGACCATCCCCCTATAGATGGTTTTGATGTTATTTCCAAAGTCTGGCTATTAGAAGCAAGTTGGCAATGAACACTCTGGTACAAATAGCTCAGGACTCTTGTACCAATAGGATTCCTATTTGACAGAGTTCCTGAAGTGAGAATATTGATGAAAAAGTATGTACATGCCCACCTTGATGGATAGTACCAACATGCCCTCCAGATAGTACATAAAGGTGCCAGTTTCTCCATACCCTCACCCACACTCCTTTATATATAGAGAGAGTTGGCCCTAAGAAAGATTAAAATGCTCTATTGGGAATATTTTTTCCTCGTCCTCCCAGGAACTGACTCCTGAATTAAGAATGCCTTCAGGAAACACAGGTTCACTTTACTAACTATGTGAGCCCAACAGAATTGACTAGAAAATTTGGCTTGTGGGTCTGCTCACATCTAGTTGCTGATCTCTAGCTTTGCCACCACTCTCCAGAGTCATTTACAGTACCCAAGGCAGGGGCACCAACAGGGTGCCAAGTACCAGCCCCTCCCCCCTTAGGGGGATGGTCCCCCATATGCCAGAGACAGTGTCCCAGCTGGCATCACTAACACTCCCCAGAGTGTCCCAGTTTGTAGATTATACATAGGGTACACTACACCCCATCGTGTGAACGATCCCCACTGGACTGTACTCTGGGTCCTGGACTTTAAGCCAGGGCCTCTGCATGGTGTTAGAACCCACTCAAAACCACACCTCCATGGGGGCCTTCCCACCTTAGTCACTCACCTCCCACCCGTTTCCCCATCAGCCCAAAGAACTGGCTCGCTTTGCCCCTCTTCACCTCCTGAAGCTGGAACTGAATGCTGGGGATAATATCTTCCTGAAGAAGCAAAGAGTTCATTAGAGTTAGTGTCAGGGCGTGGGGGACATGGGTGGGGGGCAGGGGTGAAGAGACAAGATGGGCAGCCTGAGCAGTGAGAATTGCAGTAGTACTTGTCTGTTGGCACTGCATATTTTACAAAATGCTGTGCATAGTAACGACAATAACATTAAACCTACTATGTCCCTGGCACTGTACTAAGCATTTTCATATGTGAACTCATTAATCCTCACCAAACCCCAAGTACTATTGCTGTTACCATTTTGCAGATGAAAACAATGCGTGTGTCACTCAAACATTCGAGCAGGGGGCACCCTGAGGTGCCACCACTCCTCTATCACCTCGCCTCATTAGTGGTTAGAACCACAGTGTAAGTTCTTTCTGAGTGCTAGCCAGTCTCTCCAGTGTCCCCAGCCCTGTGTCTTGAGGGGCAAAGGGTTGTTACCAGCCAAGAAAGGAGAAGGACCATAAGACCCAGCTGCAGGGCAGGACCCAGCTGTACTCGGTTTCCATGTGGGTGCACGGGGCACCCTGTCATACGGTTCCACCTCTTTGCCAGGCCAGGTCCTCTGATGCTGGGCACAGATTCAGTAAAGGCTGGGGGGAAAAAAGCACTCGGAATCATCTCCCCACTGTCCCCATTTTACAGGTGAGGAAAGTCATGTCCTGAGAGGAGCAGTAGGGCCCTGTCCAGGGTCACAGAGAATCAGTGGAGAAGCTGAGACTTGAACCCTGGTCTCCTCAACAGCGTGCACTTCCATTTGCAGACCAACCAAAGCTATCGCAATGGCTGTCTGTCCAATGGCTCTGCATGGGCACTGGTGCCTACTATCTGGGGCCTGGGAGGCACCAGACTCAGACTTGGACCATCTGGGAGCCTCCTAGGGGACTTTCCAAGCGCTGGTCCTGTTTGCCTCTGGCTTGCAAGCATCTCCCTATATGACTGCCTGTAGGCAGGATCAGAGCTGGTGGGGTGCAGGTACTGGTCTCTAACTTTTAGATTTCTCCCCAATGAATGCTTAGGTCAGTTGAGTAGAAAAGACTGATGATTAAACCAGTACTTGTCAGGAGGGTAAGTTTCTACATGTGAGACAATAGTGATCCTGACCCAAGATGATCCCTTGAAAGAAAATTCTGGGAAAAAAAAAAAAAAGAAAGAAAATTCTGGAAAACCTCTGATGCACAGAGATACAGAATCAGACCATGGACAAGGTATGCTGATGAAGTGCTTGTTGAAGCAAGGTGCTTTAGAAGCTGTGCTGTCTTGGACAAACCACTTGACATCTCTGGGCTTCAGTTTCCGTATCTGTGAATTAGGGATAATAATGTACCTTCTTCCCCATGAGATTGATATGAAGATTAAATGGATTAATATTTATAAACAGTGCCAGAAACATAGTACGAGTTAAATAAGTGTTATACACAAACATGCACACACTCACACTCTTGCTACCATGGGGATAGGTCCCGTCAAAGGTTGGCCAGGCCATGGTCTTACCCACAGAGGGGCAGTCAGACAACTGGCCTTTCTATATAAACCTGCTCTCCTGGCAGCCACATAGGAGATTCCTCCCCAGCCCCCAAACCCTGCTTCTCTCCAAAGGTACCTCCAGGGTCACCGTTACCCAGGGTCCCACTTCAGCGCTGAGAACGAGTTCCTCGTCCCCGGCCCAAGTGCAGGCGTTCAGCCCCATCAGGAGGAGCAGGGCAAGGCCGAGCAGCATGGTGAGCCTCCCTGTCCTGGACCCTCTGTCAGCCCCTCTTGGTCACCAGCCGGTCTGTCCTCTGGGTCCTCACTGGCTCCTTTCAGGTAGGCGGGGAAGTGCCACCTGTCTTCAGTGCTTCCAGCTATCCTGCTGCTTCTCCAGTTTATCTGCCCCCCCTGGGCCATTTCCGGTACTCCCCTCCCTCCCTGACTAGAAAGGCCAATGGTATGAGGTGCTGCTCAGAAGGAGGGACAGGTCCTCACCCACTGCCATCCCAGCACTTGATCCCCGGCTTAGCCCTCTGATGCAACACCTGCCTCACCTTCCTTGGCCGTGTTCCCTTCAGCAGCAGGTGCACAATGGGGCAGTGTGTGGCGCTGGAGCCTGCAGCTTCCTGACTGGAAGCCCTAAGGGGCTTCTTGGAAGCGTGAGGGGTGGGGTGCTGTATGACTCCTCCCTTTTTGGTGCTCTGCTCCCTTGTACAGAGAGGCCTCACCCCAGAACTTAGCATTCCCCTTCCTGTCATGCAGCCCCCCTTCCTCGGTGTTCCCTACCATCTGTGGTCTCCACGTGTGTATAGAAACACAGGTCTTGCCCAATGAGAAACAACACTGTGCTTAGAAACAAGACTCTTCACAAGCCGAAATTGGGATTTGCCAGAAAAAAAATCTGCCATAAGTATCATGCGCTCTACCGCTGACACACGCCTTCCCACTACTCTCAAAGTGCTTTCTACAGCCAACCTGACCTGTCTCTTCCCGCTTACAGCCTTCCCGTGTGTCCCAGTCGCCCTCGGGCATGAAGTTCAAGCTCCCTAACATGGCTCTCCAGGTCCTTCTCCACTTAATGCCTCCATGTCTCCCTTCCACTTGTGCACCCACCCAGCCACCCACCACCCATCCATCCATGCATCCTCCCATACACCCACCCATGCACCCATCCATCCTAGCTGCACCACTAAGTAGCTGTGTGACCTCAGGCACATTTCTTAACCCCTTCAAACCTAAGAATCTTTATCTTTAAAACAGGATTAATAATAGCACTTATTTTCAAAGATGTTTGAGGATGAAATGAGATAATGGAGCACTTAGCACAGTGCGTGATGGTAAATATTTAATACCCGTTCACTGTTATTACTGTTACTATTATTGACACTGGGTGAAGCATGGGCCAAGAAAAATGTAGAAGACACCACTCTTGTCCAACAGCGCCTCACAGTCCAGGATAGGAGACCTCTGGCTGGTGGACAAGCTTTGCTCATGTTTGCTCGTGTTTGGTATGTGCACACATAGAAATTAAAGGGAAGGGCTTGACTCTCTCCGGCCTGCCCAGCAGCCATTCCCTGCCCCAGGACACACTGCGCCACCCCCAGGATGGGCTGAGACTTCTGCCCCCTCAGGCGTTGGACTTGGCTGTTGCCTCTGCCAGGGTCTGCCTTTCCACCTGGCAAACTCCTGCCCTTAAAGGTCCCAATTAATGGTCACCTCCTCAGTAGTAGTTTTCTGTCTCTATTTCTGTTCTCAGCAAAAATGAGTTAACCCCTTTCCTGGACTTTTCTGCTGTTTCTTACCTGTATGACTGGCAGCTCCGCAGGCTGTGGTGGGAGGCTGTGCAGATTGCGTTCTGCGCAGAGGTGGCCGCCTCGGGGGTGTGACCCCGCGCAGGTGTGACCCAGCCCTCATCCTGCTCGCTGAGCTGTGTGGGCTGGCATGAGACTGCACTCTGCTACAAGCAGGTGTTTTGCTCTGTTTCTCCCAAGGGGGCCAGCTGGACTGAGGACAGGCCTGCTAGTCTGCAGGATGGTAGCTGATGACGGCCTGGCTTTCTGGGGTGGGCTGTAATAAATGTGTGCTTGGCACACCGAAGTCCTAACAAAACCTGCAATCACTGAGACCAGACCAGGGAAGGCAGAGATGAATCAGAGCATGTGGAGGTTTGAGGGAGGATACCCCCAAATGCATGCCACCTCCACCCCCTTCCAGGATTCTCTTTGGTGGATCCCAAATGGGATGGCTTCAGCCTCCCAGCATTTGCTGACATGCAGATTCCCTGGCTCAGCCTCATTCTGACACAGACAGCCCTGTCTGTGGATCTGTCCCCGCGCTCGGAGGGGCTGTCACTCACCTGCCTATGGGCAGAGTCCTTACTAACTCACATTACATTTTGGGGGTTCTGTTGCTACAGGTTCTTCCTTATGGAGAACAGTTTTGCTTTTCATTCTCTTCATTTCACAGATATGGAAACTAAGGCAGGGTGGGCTTGTTCTAGGTTACACTGAGGACGCCTGTCTGGCTAGCATCCTGGACCTCCCACCTCTCACTGGGGCCTCAGCCCACAAGGACAGGCCACACAGGCTGGGAGCAGAGGAACAGCATGGGCCTCCAGGAGGGAGATGACTTTCCATTCCGCAGAGTCAAACCTCCCACCTAAGGAAGGAGTCTCTCTGAGTCTCAGTGTCTCCCACTGCAAATTGCAGCTTCTCCTCACTGGGCAGTGGTCAAGACTGAATGGAGTCCCACGTGTAAAGCCTCAGCACAGTGCCTGGCACAATGTAGACGCTCACTTAACCCTAACTTCGATTTCGTTATTATTCCATCGCTGCAACCCAGGCGCTGGTCTCCCCGCCTGAGCTGAGCTCCCCGCCCCACCAGCGCAGGAACCACCCCGCAAGGGACAGGATGTGGTGGGTGCACAGCGGGAGGGGGTGGCGGTGGTGGTGCTAGGGGCAGAGGAGAGGGCGGCGGGCAGAAGGGAGAGAAATCCCAAAGGTCCGGAAGGCCAGCAGGCAGGCAGGGCATGGGCTGGAAACCGCGGCTATTTGCAGCGTTGCCCTCGGGCTGCGGTCGGGCTGGCGCTCGCAGCGCTGGCGGCCGAGCCCGCTGCCCCGCCCGGTGCCCTCGGCCACCCGGGCACGGCCCTGACCCGTGCGACCCGCCTCGCCCGGTCCTCGAGCCCAGGCGGCGGGGGGCGGGGGCGCCGCACGGGGAAAGGACGAGGCCACCGCAGCAAGGCTGGGGCGACCCTCACCGACTGCGGGAGGGCGCCGCCCGGCGGGGCTCCGGGGCGGGCGCGGGGCGGGGCACGTGCCCCGGTTCGCTGGGGGCGGGCGGGGTACGTCGAGGCGGGGAGCGCCGAGCCCGGGGGTCACGGATCAGAGCACGACCACCCGGGCGCCGGGGGCGGACGAGGCGCGTCGAGGCGGGGTGCGACTCCCGGGGCGCTGGGCCCGGGCGGCGCGGGGTGGCGGCCGGGTGGGCCGCGGTGAGGCTCCCTGGGCGCCGGGCGGGCGCGGAGGATTGCTAAAGGCTGCGGTTTGGCTAAGATTGCGGACCCGAGGAGAGAAAGGGCGCGGGGGCGCGGGGAAGGGATTTAGAAGAAAAGCCGAGGGAACAGAGAGGAGGGACCGCGAGAGGAGGGCGGATGCGGGCAGGAAGCTGGCGTTTCCTGAGCGCCTTCTCCGTCCAAGGGGGGCGGGCCGCCGGCGGGGGGCGGGGGCGGGACGGTTTTCCCGCCGGCTTGGGGAGGGGGAGCCGCGGGTATCGCGCCCAGCTCTGAAGTGAAGTGGTCACGTCGGGATTCGAACCCAACTCAACTCCCACCCGCATGCGCTTTCACCCTGGCGGAGGAGCGTAGCTGGAGCGAGAGGGGAGAGGCGGGTGGCGGAGATAAGGGGGAAGCTGGAGGGGAGGCAGGAGGAACGGGGCTCCCCTGAGGGGTCGCCGCTGGCCGGCGGCTCCACTACCCGAGCAGACGCCGCTGGGGCGCCGCTTCCGCGGTTCCGCGCCCTCCCAGCGCCCCCGTGTGGCGGCTCCTGGCCCCCGACTTGCCTCTGAGAACTCGGAGCTGGCGCACGGGCTCGAGCTGGGTCCTGGACTCCGAGGACTGTCCCTAGGATCGAGGGGCAGGAGATAAAGGAGGCGCTGGGCTGCCCGAGTGGGGGAACCTCCTTAGGCGGCAGTGGTCCTTGTAATGGCGGGGGGCGGGGCTGGTGGATAAAAGTTACCCAGAACCCGTGATTGGGACAACAGTCTTTGCACTCTCTTTCTCAGACAATAATCCCTGCACCCTTCCAGCTGCAATGGCTTAAGACCTCTGAAAAAGGCAACTCTCCCCCAAATCTTTGAGACTGCATTCATGCATTCACTGAATCCTCATCGACGGAGCCCCTTCCCGCCCAGGAAGTGCTCAGGAAAGAGATGAACAGACACAGACAAGCATTTTAATGATTTCCACACTGTGGAAAGTGCCAAAGGCTTGGGCCTTTGGGGGCGAAGGTATGAATCCTGAACCACCCCTTACCCACATTTATAGTGTGGGGAAAACTTCGGACAGTTGTCCTGGACAGAACACACTGGGTCTGGAAAAGTGGATCACTATACCCAGAGGGCAGATGGAGCCAACAGAGCCGTGGGTGCTCGGGCACTTAATTCTGCTCACAGTCACAGCAGATGATTTGACCCAAGTTGGCCTGATTTTTGGGACGTCTCAGTCATTCAAGAAACTAGCTCTTCCACAGACAGTGGGGCCTGAGGTTTCAGAAAGAAATTCTCTGAGTCCTGAGAATGATTGAAAACAGTCCCAGACCTCACCCTTTCTATTTGGGTCCCTTATGGGCCACCATCCAAGGAATGGTCCTGTCCCCATCTTTTTTGCATGTAGGCCCTATAAGAAAGAGAAAGGTACACAGCGTGGGGTATTTGTTCACAGGAAGGATTTAAAAGTAGGAGGAAAAGCAGAACATAATGGTTAAGAATTAGACTCAGGGTTCATATTCTGACCCCACCACTTCCCATCTGTGTGATCTTAGACATGTGATTTATTTATCCATTTATTTAAAACCTATTCATTCACTCATCCATTCAACTGAAGTAATGGGTTACAACACTGTAGTTACTTTAGAGTACAGGTTCACACCTCTTCAACTATGTTGCTACACCACACCCCCCACCAAAGCACCAATACACCTTCCACCATTTGCTCCCAACTCACCACCCCCCTCACCACCACCTCATAACCTT